TTAATACAATCTGTTCACTCAATTATGTGCTGTATTTGAAAATAAATGATTGCACCTACCATTAAGTTATTGCAGTTTATGCTACCTTTGCAGTTAAAATTCTAGATGTAATTTTTTTGGGAACCTCATACAATTTTAGTGGAAAATAACCGGACACTAGTATCCATTGCAAAATCAAAACTCGGACACCAGTGTCCAAAAGCTAAAATCGGACACTTGAGTCGTAAATCTGAAATCGAAGGCTAGTGTCTATAATCTGAAATCGGACTCTAGTGTCTAAAATAAGAAACAGGACACTAATGTCCGAAATGAAAAATCGGACACTATCATTCGAAATCGGAAATCGGGCAATGGTGTCCAAAATCAGAAATCGGACGTTAGTGTCCAAAATCTAAAATCTTGCATTAGGATCAGAAATCTAAGATCGGACATTCATGTCCAAAATCGAACACTAGTTTCCAAAATGTAAAACCAGACATTGGTGTCCAAATCGGAAATAGGACACCAGTGTAAAAAATCAGACACTAGGGTCCAAAATCGAAAGTGGGACACTAGTGTCCAAAATGTGCGGTATAGACAAGACTATACCCAGATAAGACAAAACCCAGATAACCATTGGCATAGATTTGATGAGAAGTCGCTCAATATTTAATGCATTCCAAGAAAAATTATAAATTTTTTAGCCTTGTGAGTCTCTCAAATGTAATCATATTGTCGATTAATTTTTAACAGGACTTCTTGTCGTCCAATTCTGTCTTTTATTATACTCGGAAGCAAGAGACTATAATCTCATGCCTTAAGTGATCCCTTTTTGGTCGTCCGATTTTTGTTAATCACTCTTACAACAGACTTAATTGGATTCTACTCAGCATTCCTAATTCCATAATTTGGGTAAATAAACGTAACATTAAGGATAAGTTAAGAAGACGCACCGGACTCTGTGACGTCATGATAAATCCAAAGTGCTTAGGGCGGCCAATAAGAACAAATGAACATATCACAGGTAGCCAATCAGGACTCATAGTCAATTGGTAATTTGCGCGGGAAAACCGACCAAATCGAGATTGGTTCAAGCTTTGCATCTGATTAGGGAAGAGGATGGTGGGAGTTTTCTGGAACAATTACAGAACGTGACGAGACTAAACCAAAGCAAACTTGAATCATTGTTGACACTTAGTTGGGCTGAAATTATCAGAAATAACCAACTGTGTTAAACTCTTTTCAAGCCATTAGCCACTGCTTCCTCAATGACTAGAGAATATTGAGCATATGTACACTTTACAGTTAATTACGCTGTTCTAAGTGCTTATTCTTCAGCTTACAATGGTTTCCATCGTAGCAAGGGATTTTATTTCATTTTTTTCTGTAACGGCCAAACATATGACATAACTCACCTATCTTGGTGGCCTCTCGTGTGCCTTAAACTTAATTTGCCGATGGCTTTTGATACTCTCAACTTGCACCTATAGTAGCTCAGGATTTTCCTACAGTTCCATAGCTCCTCGGGGCTCTCAAAAGTTTTAGGGATTTGTTTGGTTCGTGTCTAGCACCTTTAGGTAAGTACGGCTGAAAAGTTTCTTTGACAGTGTACTACTACAATAGTCGTCTTCAAGGATAAGCGCCCACGAGCCCGCGAGCAGGTTCTCGTTAACTGTGTTTCTGCGCAAGCGTTTCTTCATCTGCGGGAACATAGGAAGCCTTGAGCTGCGCATGTGCATGTACGCTATGAGGGACTTTGTGGCCCTGTAGTCAGTGCAGTGGACTCCGGGGCGAGAGGTCTGGGTTCGAGACCTGGCCGGGTTATTGCGTTGTGCTCTTGGGCAAGACGCTTTACTCCCACGGTGCCTCTCTCCCCCCGCCTCTCTCCCCCCAGGAGTTTAAATAGTCACCGGTGAATTGTCAGGGAAGCCCGATGAAATGACATCCCATGTATGGGGAATTAGTAATACTCCTAGTCGCTTCTTGCTACAGGGAAACCGGAATATTCTCCCAGGGGTGGACCAATAGGCTCGTATCGAGTACAGACTTTACCTTTTTACCTTTTGAGCTATGCAAACCGCCGAAAGCTCTTCAAGAAAATTAAACAATCAAAGTGAAGGGATCCCATTAAAAATTTCAGAGCCCTGACTAACCTCTCCCTGACATGTCTCAAATCTTCCCTCGGAAACGAAACGCGTGTCCCGTTGCGTTGCTGATGAGGGCTTATCGCAACGACATATCGCAATTGTGGACAGGATTTCTTCTGAACCTGTTCAAAAGCGCAACTTGTGTTTTATGTGAAGATAAGTCTGCTTCCCAAATTATTGCGCAGTCATACCAGAGAAGCCATTGGAAAGTTGTTCCACGTAGAAAATTTCAATGGCGAGGCTTTTTCTCTCAAAGAAATAGTGCCTTTCAAAGAATCAATCGGATTTTAAAAGGTTTCTATGCTTCCCATTTGCAATTGATGGTTAGCTTAAGACGCAACAATGGGTTTCCAATATCGTGAACATTTCAAATCACAAGTCTTGTACTCACGCCAAGAGAATATCAACTATGTACAATCTCTTGACTCACGCTCTGATTTCAGGTCGATAGCATATCCTAATCTAAAAATCCCAGACCTAAACTCATGTTAACATTAGAACTCGAAGTTTGCAAAGCATCCAAAGAGAGTGTTACTGTGAAAAATTTCAAGTGTGAGGGCACCATTTATGCATAAATTCTCAACGGATGGTAGTGTTGCAAATTCTGAAAGGGTAAGTATCATCTGCAATTGTCGAGGTGTACTGGGTCGAGTTTGTTGGACAAATGCGCTTCTACATCTTAGCGTCAGTAATATAGATCAACCGCGCGGTTTGATATTCTTCGACATCGAAGGCAGGGACTGGATTCATGGTAAAGGCAAGGATTTGAAATGTTGGTGTCTTAGTTTATCAAGGTAAAGTAATACGGTTTCACAATGTTAATCCAATCCTGTTTTTCATACAGTGATAAGCTTTATTGATGAAGAGCGATCCTTCCTCTTGCACGCAAGACGCATTTATGTAAAAAGCCGACAGTTCATTCGATTTACAAGACTTTAACGACAAAATCTAAAAGATTAATTCGTTTTAGCGATTAATCTCTTTCATTACTGCGAAATTATCTTATTTTTACAAACACTCAGTCCTAAAACTTGCTAACAGTATCCAGTACTTTCTTTCTTCGAGTGATTCACTGACTTCCAAAACCGTTTCACGTGCACAAGGTCCACAGATCATTCTTGAAGCTCTTGAAACACTCTATAAGAGGGGAAAGAAAATGAAAGGTTGATCATTAACACGCCGGTGAAAAATTACAACTGAGACTCAAACATAATTTACAAATTTAGGGTTTTCTAGCCATGAAAAGTTAGTTATTGCTCAGTGTCTTGTTAACCTTGATAGTAAGATCTTTTTTTTCACCTTCCTTTCAATATATCATGATCAAGAGGTGGCCAATAATGATCAGGTGATTTTAATCATGATGATATTAACTCAGTGAAGAGATTTGTAGGGTCTCAACTTGCAAAATCATAGAGAATCCAACAACCTATATTTCCAAAGAGGGGATTTACATTTATTACTATGTCTTTTGTGGCTGTTCTCCAGATCTGTAGATTTCAATTTTTTCCAAGTTAAGTTGTTAAATCCTTCTATGGAGCAAAAAGGATCATAAATTCATGTGGAAGAGAACCAAGAACTATTTAAAAAAAACAAGACCATTGAGCATTTATGCTATACACTCCAAGGTCTCCTTTGCTGAATAAGAAGTGCCCAAATTTAAATACTGAGATCAAATCACATATTTGAAAAAGTGAAATTTTGTTGTGAATTCTTTGCAACATTATTTGTCAATCTGGCATTGTTCATCTTGATGGTCTTGCTCTCTCTGATGAGGTTATGTTACAGGATCCCCCCTCCCCACTATGGTGAAACTAGACTACCCCCATATTGTAGGTAGTCAGATCTCCTGAGAGGATAGTGACCATTTCAAACAGGCTTTGCATACATTGTGCATATAGAGACTTCAACTGAGAAGACTTTTAGTCAAGGCTTGCTTGTAGAATTTATGAGGTGGGGATCATTACAGCCAATTCATCTCACCTCCCCAAAAAGATTGATCTTAGGAGGTTGATTTTAATCACTGGTGATTCAGTAGCTGTCATTTTGGCTTACAGAAAACTGAAACACCAACTCAGACAGCTGTTAACAAGTTAGCTAAGTCAAACATAATGTTTCTTAAAACCGTAAGTGACTGTAGGCCAACCAATTGGCTGTTTACAAGGTGATTATGGAGAAAGAGTTAAACTCAGGACTACCAAGAAACAAATTCAATTTATTTTTTGAGTGAGAATTTGATATTGGACCTTTGGGTTTTGAGCTCAACATTCTCATCACTTGCAATGGATAGGTTATCTCCATGATGCCTTTGTAATGGCTCAATTTAAATTTTGGATTTGCTATATATTGTAATAATTTCAAGATATTTCTTGTTTGCTTTCTTACTGACCAGCTATACTTAGGGATATGTTTCACAGGAACTTAAATATTACACAAAGCTTAATTCAAAACTGACAGCAAAACATTAAGTGCTAATCAAATGGTTTACCCTGTTGTCAGTTAACATGAATATTGTTGATTATCTTGTAAATTGTACAGATTGCTTTTGAAATGACACTGATGTAAAGCTTTCCTTTTTATTTGATTTACACATGAGGAGAGATATGAAGAAGACAGATACACCACACATGGAATCTGGAAGAAAACTGACTTGAATTCGTAAGGTGAGATCCTTTTAAAGGAGTAAGCTACCTCCCTCAACCCTATAAACAATCAGCATCTAAATTCTCCCTACAATAACACCCATGAATCACACATTGAGGTTATGAGAGTAAAGGAAATAATCACCAACTAACTTTTCTTGATTGTTATACAAATTCTCACTCCTCACAGAAATACTGGCCATGTTTGTATTGGAAATGAGATTGATAAAAAAGGTAGCTGCTTAATACAAGTTTTTACTCATGAATTGATACATGAATGTTTGTATTCAATCATACTAAATGATTAGAATTGTATTGCAGTAATTTTAATACAAATAACAGACTATCCTGCTGATATTATTATTATTATTGCACTATCTGGAGCTTTTGAATACATACATGTAGCTGATTTAGTCTAGCTTTTTCTTTTCAAGAATTGTTCATGTAATGTAATATATATATTAAAGTAATTGTTATTTAGTCTTTGTGTTTATTGAATGACATTTATGTTAGACTTATGCAAGGAGTAATCACAACATATATAGAAAAATATATTTTTAATGCAATAAAAGATAAAAAATTACTTAGAATGTTACTTTAAGCTCTTTGTTATCAGTAGCATATGGGTAAATACAGTAGTAAAGTTGTATGTTAGTACTTTACTTTGGGTCAGGTGCTTGTTGCTTGAGCGGCACAACACTCTGCCATAAAAGTGGCTTGAAGATGGGAAAATGCAAGCTAATTGGTGTGATTCACATGTGTAACTATTGGACAAGTACAGGCTCAATGATAATGTTCAGTCACTGGTGAGTTATTTTTGAGGGGTCAGTGATGTTTTGTAGTTACTCCGAGCAGCATGCAAGCTATGGTCATTTGAACTCAGGAATGAGGTTTTGTGCAAAGTGAAGAAAAAGTCTCACTGATGGCAAATGGTGTTGAACAGTGTGTCTGACAAAGTTAGTTCCTTTTTCTTTTGCCTATCTTATTTTTTTTTGCCAATCTTTAACAACATTGATTCTGAATGTTTGTCTCAAAGATGTCCATGTACATCAATGAAATGCTCCCTACTGTGTTGGTTTTCACAGTCAGTACGTGTCAAGTCTGCAAACAGTTCTCCTTTCTTGGTCTCACTCAAAAGTCAAATCTTAAAGAAGTCACATCTTTCCTTATTTCTGTTCATGTTACAGCTGTGTAGTGTTTAGATATTCCCTGGGATGTCTTACTCTATGTCTCTGTGGAATGTATTTTATTTGTCAGCAGTGTTATTGATCAGGGGAGCAAATATCAAATGCTTTTCTCTTCTACTCATAATCGCCATGTTTTCCATTTCCAATGAAGTTGTCTTCATGTAGTACTCCATAAAAAGTGACACCTGATGATAGAAAATTGAGTTACACTGAATTCTGCAGTCTTATGAAAACATAGTCTAGTGTTAGAAACAAGAAAAGGGGTTTGCTATATGTAAGTTTGAAAAATATCCTTTAAATTCTTGTTTGAACTTTGTTTACTCTTTGACATACACAAGCGAGATATTTAACTTTTCTTATTGAAAAAAGATCAACAGTTGATTTCTCATCGCATTGGTAGTAAACTATTGAACAGTCAACTGAGGTGAAAAGAAATTAACAACAGGATAAATTGATGAAGCACCAAAATCTCAGAAGTAAAAAGTAAAGACATGTATGGCATCCAGTATGGAGAATTGATAATTGGACTTAAATGTTTTAAGCGCAAACGAGGTTCAAATTAGGCTTGTGATTTAGGTGTCCTTTGAAGCTGACACATGATTCCTTCGCCTAGATATGAATAGCAAGAGACTGTTCCTATCCCCCTTCCCCCCTCCCTCCCCCCCGAGAGCACTACGATGACTCTACTGGAAGACATCATGAAACGATTTTCTTTTCTCTTCCCCCCCCCCCCCGCGAGGGAAATGGAAAAAATGATACTACTTGAAGCCATCATGAAACAACTTTCTTTTCCCCTCTCCCTCTCCCCCCCCTCCAGTGAGCAATTTGTTGGGCTGCTTTGACAATTAACTGGTTCTCTCCTATTCTCCTGGGTGGGGAGAGGCACAGCAATAATAACAAGTGCATTGTCCCCATCGGAGGTACCCCTAGTTCATGTTGACGGAGTTTAGCGGGTAACGACTACAATCTACCACTGGGGTTAAATACGAGATCATTAATGAGATACTTATAATCAAGATGAAGCCTCACTTTAAACTTGCAAACTTGCAAACTATCCTGTCTGAAATTGTGATATTCATTCTACTGTTTGAAAAAACACTGTCTAAATTTAATAGCCTTTTTCCGCAAGCAACGATTAGTAACTTTACTCCAAACAAAAAGTAAATAAAACGGAGTACATCATGTATTTAAAAGGACATGTCGCACTAGTTTTTAACATTTCAGGTTTAACCTGAAAAGTGCCATCCTATTGCAACCCCCTCTCCCCCTCAAAAAGATCAAATTCAAAACACAACCCCCCTCCCCTCCCCACTTGCGCCCAACCACAACAGCATTACCCTACTCAAAAGGTCTTTCGCATAAACATTCATTTATCTTTTCCTTAAATTTGATACCAGGAACCCATTGGCCAAAGGAATAAATGAGTGGGGAATAATTGTTCACGCTGTCTTATTAAATTTATCTGTGAAAACCGCAATAATTTTAACATAAAAACTACAATTAAGCAAAAACCCTGGAAAATCTTACAAGAGTAAATAGTTCGACACATCAACATGAAACAAGTGTAGAGATCAATGACAACAATTTGACAACAGTTAATTGTGAGCACTGGCTCTGGAATGAACGAAAAATTCAAATGTTTTGAAGCGCTTTTGAAGAAAAGATCATTTGATGTGTAGGTGACACTATCGATAAATTTTTCAAAAAAGTTTCCAAGAGGTAGAAAAAGATCTTAGCGCACGTGTCTCACCCAATGAAATACAAGCATTTCGAGAAGCGAATGGAGCCTGGGTGTCAACGACTTTTTCAGTGAACTTATCAGGTTGTGAAAACTCATTAGCTAGCCTATGGCTCATAATTTGCCCACAAAGGGCCTTTGTTGTGTCATCGAATGTGTGCAGTTACCAGCAACTTAGAATTATGTTTCGTAGTCTTAATAATCTCTAGTCTGTAGGTCGAGATAAAAAAAAACCGAAACAAACAAACATTTACTAAAAGTAAGCAAAGCTTTCCTAAAGTTCCCTAGCTAACCGAAGCCATTAAGTTGTCACGGGACACTAATTAATGCGGTTTTTAATTGCCTTTTGTTATTTTAACAAGATTTATGCTATCTTGCTTTGACCACACATCTTCGGAATGCCTCATTCGCGTTTCTGTAGTCAACGGGGCTTTTGTTGGTCTAAAGAATTACTTTGAGCAGAGAATTACTTTGAGGAGATAGGCAGACCCTTTGACCACACAAACTTCGGGCTCCCTCAAGCCAATTTATGTTCTTTATAAAACTGGAAGTTCACGAAATTGCTTCAGGAAGGTATGTTGTAAATTTCTTAAGCCGTTAATTCTTAGAAAATTTGAGTTTCCATGGAAAGAGAGAGGAGAGAAAGATTTATTAAAGCAAAACAGATCAGACTTATTCTCTAAAAAGAGTGGAAACAATTCGCGAAAAACCGTGAGGAGAATTTGGTACCGGTTGCCTTACAGGAGTAAGGTTAGGCCTGAAATCGTGGGAAAATTACAGCATTAATTTTTGGAAAACTAGAGACACCATTAACGCCCCTTCGCCGAAATTTACTTCCTCAAAATTTGTTCGTAACTTCTCTTTTACTTGGTAAAACATCGTAGTTCTAACTGACTTTTCTAGTGAGTCTATCCATTGTGTGTTCTAAGCTTTGAGAGTGTGTCCTTTGTATGTTTCATCCTGTTCAAAATGGTGCGAAAAATTCCTAAGCTGATCTGTTCTACTCCTTAAATATCAGGTGCTTACGCCTACAACAGATTGATCTCGGAAACTCTAGATACTGGAAGCGTAGTTTTAGTAGTTGGGGCTCAATAATGACTTTGAACTCTTTCCTTAGCTCAAAGGCTCACAATATTTTTAGTATTTGTTTTTTCGGGGACGTTTTAAATTACCTTAAGCGTAAAGAAAATCCACTATGCATCAAATAAAATTGGTGGAATACCAAAATAATACTGGGTAATGATAAATCAAAATGTGACAAGTACAGTCGAGGATGTAGAGAAGGGGCATGGATTGCAAATGAAAGGCTAAATAAATTTAGGCCAAAGCTTCTGGTTGGAAAATCCTTGACGGTGCTCTTTTTGACATACAGATATTTGAGTTCTCCTTACTGAATGCCATACTTTTCGTAAAAATTTGTTTTGAGGACTTAGTGTAGCATGAAAACAAAAGATACTACTTGATAAACAGCACGAAAGCTATGATAATTCTCTGTATTGTTCACAGCTTTCTGCTTTCCTTGATTTGTGGAAATAAATTTTGGAGAAATCGAGTATTGGTCAGTCACGCTACCTTAACTGCTTTCACGCTGGGTTATATTTTGTATCTGCCATTCTGTTCATTAATAGTTTCCGCTTACTTATCTTGGTTCTGGAGACGTTCATACATTTCTGTCACTTTATCTTCCCTATGCATACCCACACATTTTCAAAGGTTATTGGTTTTTCTCGCCTGCTAATTGCCCTGTCATCGTATTTCCTTGCAAATGCAGTTATCTCGTCTACTCTGTTTCTTTCGTCTCTATTTCGTCTCGTGTCTAATTCTTACCGCATCAGAAACTAGCGCATTAATTCAAGAAATGATTGGGAACTATCTCCAAATGAGTTCATATGCTTGAATAATTTGTGCATGGATTGTCCACTTTGTTTACTTTCAATTTTATTTATTCCGAGGCAAACAACGGAACTACATAAACAAACCTCTCATCTAGCGGCCTTTCTTGTCTTCAACAGCGACCAGTCGTCCTCCTTCGACTCTAACTTCTGTAACAAAAACAAACAAACCATTGAGTGTAGAGTCATTGTATCCTTAACACTCAGCGTGAGTATCTCCTTACCTCCGTTCGAAAATCTCTTCACCACGATAATGTGATTTTCAGGGCAGGCGATCACTATTCGCTGATAAGGCGTTGATTTCCGACCTTCGCTGGCTCCTGAACTCTGTGCTAATTTTTCATTCGATGCATTTTCCATGATCTTTTTGCTTGGTGTAGCACCGCCACCGAAATGGTCTGTGTATCTCTGTGAGTACGTTTGATTGCCTGGTGATATCTCTGTTACTATTTATTAAAGTTGTGAGTATGAAATCTTCAAGCGTTGGGGTATTTTTGCATGAGCTAAGTGCTATTTTTCCTTTCCTTTCGAATAAAAGAAACCCCTTTACAATGGGAGAATCCCAATACATTGCATTGTCATCTCGAAGTACAACTGTAATGCTTTTTTTGTTAATATGGTCTCTGGGTTTTTCCCTAATTTCGTTTCTGTGTGATTTACATTGGTCCCTTTCCAATTTTATTTTAAACCTCAGTCAGTACTCAAAGTCTTACTAAAGAGTGTTAAAAAATTATATCCTCTCTGCCTTTGGGAGCTTGTGTCAAAAGATGGAACAAAACGTTCTTTTGGTACTGCTAATCATGATCTGCAAGGCAAGATCTTTTTTAGTCTGAGGACATAACTCTAATAAGTGACAATTAAAAACTCTAATAAGTGTCCGCCTAAATGAGAGCTACTAAGAAGTATTTTCATGAGGCTTTTTCTTCATTCTATTTTGCAAAGTAGTTATACCTTTGAGTTCTGAGGATAAAACCCCGTTGTGTGACTATTCAAATGAAAACTACTGATTAATACTCTCTGAAACTTTGAAGTGTAAACATCCAAATGAAAACTTCTGAGCAGCAGTAGTTTGCTGTACAAAGTGATCCTAACTTTTACGTCCATACATGAAAATCGAAACTTTGTTGACCGTTCATAGCTGTTCTGTTGGTTCTGTTGGAGAGACTTCACAGGGTGCTAAAAGTTCTTTGACATATGTTGTATCCCTGAAGGAGTAAATACAATAGATGTGTATGTGGTGGCTGACTTGCTGCTGGCACAATTAAATGCCTGTTGCTCTTCAAGACATTGAAATCCAAGAAGATTTCTGACACGTTTTTTCCGGTCTGGGTTGTGCTGTTACATTAGGATGTTCTAGAAGACTCGATCACTCAGTGATCAGAATGGAGCCTTAGCCATCTTTTAGTCAGCCTAATGACAGGGAAAATCAACCCTTAGACTTTGAACAGAACTTCCTTGAGTGTGTTTTAATAAGGAGTTGGGCATAATTGTTGGATCAAATAAAATTTTCATTAGGTTTTGGTTTAATTTGGGTGATAAGCCAGCTTATTTACCTATGCATCTGTTTAACTGCCCTGCAATACAGTTTAGAAAGTTTAAAAGGGACATTTTAAACTTGCAGGGGAATATTATGCTTGTAAAAACGGTTCCCGAATATTCATTCAAGGATATTCTTGTCGTTTCTAGAACATCACAATCAACTACCAATGCCAATTGGCAATATGAGTTTTAAAAACCTTTAAGATACATAGAGCAAGATAAATAAACTTCTAGTCTGTGTATTTGCAATCACCAACGTGGAGCTACGTAATCTATCTTTTAGAAACCAGTTCGAAATAGTCTGCGTGCAATAGCAATGACAAGGATAGACGTCCGTCTTAAGTTTTGATTTTCTGACCTGATTGTTTTCCTCCGTGTCGAGTAAACGAACGACTAAGTCCCTGATGTGATTCAATGCGTGCGTAGGGCAAAAGGCGCCAATTGGTTTAGACGCGCGTGTTCTCAAACGCTGAGTTCAGTTACTGTTAACGGTTTTTCGGTTTCTCGATACAAAACATAAATAACTTTCACAATTCACTATGTGGAATGAATCTTTATTTAAGCTTACCAATTCTCTAATAAAAATGCTCGCTCAGTATTAATATGCAAACAGACTAGTTCGGTAACTTGCTGCTTAATGAGCGCTTCTTGAGCGAGTTGTGCTAAAGCTGAGTTGTTCGCGCGCTTCAAGTGAAATTAACATCCATTAAAAGACGTTGAACGGATAGAAATGTACTAGAAAACTAACCAAGATAAGAAATAGCATAGTCTATCTCTCTTTTACTTAAGAGGTTATTTTCAGCAGATGTGAATCAAGTAACAAGGATTGTTTCAAAATGATTGTGCAAACCAACATGGCGGCTGTTTCCGTGTTAAGAAAAATCACAAAGATATTCACTCTCCATCGTGGACAGCAATTGATATATTACAATCTCCCGTAAAATTAGCGGTGTGAAATAAAATGCTGGCTTTCATCAGTCTGAAATCCGAAAAGAAACACCGGTTACTGAAAGTTTCTCTCGAAAAAGTATTACAACACGTGTTTGATTTCTCATGAAGTAGCTGCGATTTTCAAGTATTTGGATGTGAGAGTTTTCTAACAAATCAGGCATTTCTTAAGCATTGAGGGATGCATTTATTAGCGGTTTCCTATAGATCTAAAATCGGTTTTCTTTGTTGCTGATTGCGTGAGAAGGAATCACTCCAAAAGTGCCTTACCTTAGTAGTACGTACGTTCCAACTCGTCCATTAGGTATCCGCCAGTATGCAGAGTATATGCTTCGAAATAAACCGCAAAGGGTTAGATTTGATGATTGTTCTTCAGTTATGATTTACCTAAAAGTAGAGGTAAAACTTGAATGGTACGAACCTCCTCCCCGGTTGCGAGTAATCTCAAAACTTCTGAAATTATTTCTTACGTAGAACCCAATTGTTAGTCTGCGACCAGCTGATGTTGAATCCTCTTTAAGTATACTTCCACCTCTGACTTGGAAGTCTGTAAGATTAAGCAAACAGGAGTTAGAGATATGTTTAGATGATTCCAGAGATTGACCAAATTGTATAAAACAGATTATATTCACCTCCTCGTCCTTGACCTTGGTTGATGTAATATAGTGTTACGTCGTGTTCTTGAACGAAGTTTCTCCTGACGCGAACTTCCTCGTAATACCTAAGGACCGGTTCTTGATTTCTGTAGCCAGCCATATTAGTTCTTGTTGAACACGACAAAAATATCGAAGGAACCGAGAGCAATTTTTTTTCGGCAGTGGCTATCGCTATGGGAAGTAATCAGATTGGTACGTACCAATGAAATGCGAGCTTTCAAATCACGTGCTTTGTCGATCCCTACTTACCTATGAAATGCGAGCTTTTAAATGACGTGGAGATCATGATTTTTGTTATGCAGAAACACCAGGATGACCTGGTTTAATGTGGTTTGACGCAAAATATTCCTTGTTTATCAATCTGGTTTAATTACCCGTAAACAACTCGCCAAAAATTTGAATATAGGACAACTGAGGTGAAACGATGGGTACTGAAAATTTATACTCCACCACGTTGACTTATTAATGACATCGGCTCATTTCGTGAAACCAAATCATAATTTAGAAAGGAAAAGTTTGACTCAAAGCTTTTCATTTTGAACTGGTGTTCTGATAAGTGAGTAGCTCAGGTTATTTATTGCAATGCCGTCTAAGTCGAATAACCGCACATTTTATTTAACTACTGCCCAGCTCATGGACATCCGCGTATATGGTAGCTATTTCATCGTCGGCGTGTAGTCTGTAGTCTGTAATAAAACAAATAATCGGTTTGAAAGCGATACTAACTCTATGTTTTTGGATGAAGTACATTTTCGTTTTCAAAGTGCGAATAGTATGTATTTATAATGATCTGGGCTGCTTGTCTTTCTGCGAATGATGTTGTTATATCCATTCTACCTGTTATAACGCTATATGTTTTGTAGAATGATTATTTTATGGAAGGTGTGTTCAACTATCATAAGAGTATTCGCCGAGTCAGTTTTGTGGTGCGTTACGCGCTATGATGTGCACACACGCGAAGTAAACACACTGAATTATAGATGAAATGGATCAATATCAGTATCTGAGCAACTGCCCACCGACCCCTCCGCTAACCCAACATTAACCCTAACTTGCTATCAATTGACTGTTGTTGGGTTAGGGGAGGGGTAGGTTGCCCAGATACTGATAAAATAAAATTGCGTCAAACAGTCAAATTACCTTCAAATGTTAATGTCAATGTGCGTCGGTCCAGTTATACAGTAGTTGTATAAGGTAAAACGTGAAGTAAAACAATTTTCAGTTACGTTTTTGGAACTCAAAAGCCTAACACTCCTAAGCGCATCTCCGATGGAAATATTTACTCTCTCCTAGTCTCTGATTTGTATTATATTGTGACGTCAGGATACCAGTGAAAACGTCTTCCAATTCGTTTGCTTTCTCACTGCTCAGTCACACTTAGGGATATATTTCATAATAACTTAATTATTGCACAAGGCTTAATTCAAGCTTTAATTTAAAACATTCAACACTAATGAATGGTTTACTCTGTTGTTGTCAATAAACATAAATCTTGCTGGTTTTCTTGTAAATCTTACAGATTGCATTTGAGATGTCACAGATGTAAAGCTTTCCTTTTTATTTGATTTACACCTGAGGAGAGATACGAATGAGAAGACAGACACACCACACATCGAATCTGGAAGAAAACTGACTTGAATTTATAAGGTGAGATTATTTAAAGGAGTAAGCTACCTCCCTCAACCCTATAAACAATCAGCGTCTAAATTCTCCTGATAATATCACCCATGAATTACACATTGAGGTTACGTGATTAAAGGAAATAATCTTGATTGTTAGACAAATTCTAACTCCTCACAGAAATACTGGCCATGTTTGTCTTGGAAATGAGATTGATAAAAAAGGTAGCTGCTTAATACAAGTTTTTACTCATAAATTGATACAGGAATGTTTGTATTCGATCATACTAATTTGTTAGAATTGTATTGCAGTAATTTCAATATGAATTACACACTATCCTGCTGATATTATTATTATTATTGCATTATCTGGAGCTTTCGAATACATGTGGCTGATTCAGTCTAGCTTTCTCCATTCAGGAATTGTTCATGTAATTTAATATATACCTTGAAATAATTGTTATTTAGTCTTTGTGTTAATTGAATGACATTTATGTTAGACTTATGCAAGGAGTAATTACAATATATACAGAAAAGTATCTTTTTAATGTACTGAAAGATGACAAATTAATTAGAATATTACTTTTAGCTCTTTGTTATCAGAGCTTATTGGTAAATACAGTAGTAAAGTTGTATGTAAGTACTTTTCTTTGGGTCAGGTGTTAGTTTCTTGAGAGTGAATCTGTCCTAGCAGCACAACACTCTGCCATAACAGTGGCATGAACATGGGAAAATGCTTGCTAATTGGTGTGATACACATATGTAACTATTGGGCAAGTGCAGGCTCAATGATAATGTTCAGTCACTGGTGAGTTATTTTTGAGGTGTGAGTGATGTTTTGAGGTTACTCAGGGCTGCATGCAAGCTACTGCCCTTGAACTCAGGAATGAGGTCTTGTGCAAAATGAAGAAAAAGTCTTACTGATGGCAAATGGTGTTGAGCAGTGTGTCTCACAAAGTTAGTTCCTTTTTCTTTTGCCTATCTTTTTCTTTTGCCTATCTTGAACAACAGTGATCTAAATGTCTATCTCAAAGATGTCCATGTACATCAGTGAAATGCTTCCTACTCTGTTCCTTTTTCTATTGGTTATCTTAAACAACATTGATCTAAATGTTTATCTCAAAGATGTCCATGTACATCAATGAAATGCTTCCTACCCTGTTCCTTTTTCTATTGGTTATCTTAAACAACATTGATCTAAATGTTTATCTCAAAGATGTCCATGTACATCAATGAAATGCTTCCTACCCTGTTCCTTTTTCTATTGGTTATCTTAAACAACATTGATCTAAATGTTTATCTCAAAGATGTCCATGTACATCAGTGAAATGCTTCCTACCCTGTTCCTTTTTCTATTGGTTATCTTAAACAACATTGATCTAAATGTTTATCTCAAAGATGTCCATGTACATCAGTGAAATGCTTCCTACCCTGTTCCTTTTTCTATTGGTTATCTTAAACAACATTGATCTAAATGTTTATCTCAAAGATGTCCATGTACATCAATGAAATGCTTCCTACCCTGTTCCTTTTTCTATTGGTTATCTTAAACAACATTGATCTAAATGTTTATCTCAAAGATGTCCATGTACATCAATGAAATGCTTCCTACCCTGTTCCTTTTTCTATTGGTTATCTTAAACAACATTGATCTAAATGTTTATCTCAAAGATGTCCATGTACATCAATGAAATGCTTCCTACCCTGTTCCTTTTTCTTTTGGTTATCTTAAACAACATTGATCTAAATGTTTATCTCAAAGATGCCCATGTACATCAATAAAATGCTTCCTACCCTGTTCCTTTTCTATTGGTTATCTTAAACAACATTGATCTAAATGTTTATCTCAAAGATGTCCATGTACATCAATGAAATGCTCCCTACTGTGTTGGTGTTCACAGTCAGTAGGTGTCAAGTCTACAAACAGTTCTCCTTTCTTGGTCTCACTCAAAAGTCAAATCTTAAAGAAGTCACATCTTTCCTTATTTCTGTTCATGTTACAGCTGTGTAGTGTTTAGATATTCCATGGGATTTTTTACTCTATGTCTCAGTGGAATGTATTCTATTTGTCAACAGTGTTACTGATCAGGGGAGCAAATATCAAATGCTTTTATCTTCTTTTCACAATCGCCATGTTTTCCATTTCCAATGAAGTTATCTTCATGTAGTACTCCATAAAAAGTGACACCTGATGATAGCAAATTGAGCTAGACTGAATTCTACAGTCTTATAAAAACATCTTCTAGTCTTAAAAACAAAATAGAAAAAAGGGTTTGCTACATGTAGGCTTGAAAACTTTGTTAGAAAAATTCCTTGAAATTTTTGTTTGAACTTGTTTACTCTTTGAGTTATGCAAGCAAGATATTTAACTTTCCCTAGCTGAAAAAGATCAACAGTTGATTTCTCATCGCATTGGTAGTAAATTTTTGAACAATCAACTGAGGTAAAAGGAAATTATCAACAACAGGATAAATTGATGAAGTACCAAAATCTCAGAAGTAAAAGTTAAAGACATGTATGGCATCCAGTATGGAGAATTGATAATTGAACTCAAATGTTGTAAGCGCAAACGAGGTTTAAATTAGTTTCGTGATTTAGTTGTCCTTTGAAGCTGACACATGATTCCTTTTCCCAGATATGGAATGGCAAGAGACTGTTCCTATCCCCCTGTCCCCCCACCCCTGGAGAGAAATGGAAAAGCTGATATTACCTTGAGGACATCATGAAACAATTTTCTCTACCCCTCTCCCCCCTCTCCCTTGAGCATTTTGTTAGGCTGTTTGACAATATTCTGGTTCTCTCTTATTCTCCTGGGCGGGGAGAGGCACAGTGAAATAACAAGTGCATTGTCCCCATCGGGGGTACTCCTAGTCCATGTTGACGAAGTTGAGCGGGTGATGACTGAAATCTATCACTGGGGTTCAATACGAGGTCAATGATAAAATAGTCTTCATCAAGATAAAGCCTCACTTTATACTTTCAAACGTTCAAACTATCCAGTCTTGAATTGGGATATTCATTCGCCTGTTTGAAATAACACTGTCTAAATTTAAGAGCCTTTTTCCACAAGCAACGATAAGTAACTTCACTCCAAACAAAAAGTACGTGAAACGGAGTTCTTCGTGTATTTAAAAGGAAATATCGCACTAGTTTTCAACATTTCAGGTTTGACGTAGAAAGTGCCATCCTTGTACATCCTCCTCTCCCCCTCAAAAAGGTGAGTTCAAAACACACCCCCTCCCCTCTGCGCCCAACCACAACAGCATTACCCTTCTCAAAAGGTCTTTCGCATAAACATTCATTTATCTTTTCCTTAAATTTGATACCAGGAACCCATTGGGTTTCTGGAAGCAATTCCAAATAGTAATAGAGAGTAAATACGAGCAATTCAAAGTTACTTTTGGCCAAAGGAATAAATGAGAGGATAAAAATTTTTCACGCTGTCTTAGTAAATTTATCTGTGAAAACCGCAATATTGTAAATATGAAAACTACGATTAAAGAACGTAAACAAAACCCTGGAAAACCATACTCAAGTAAATAGTTCGACACATCAACATGAAACAAGTGTAGGGACCAATAAAGAATGAACGAGAAATTTAAATGGTTCGAAGCGCTTTTGAAGAAAAGATCAGTTGATGTTTAAGTGACATCATCGATCAATTTTTCAAAAAAGTTTCCAAGAGGTGGAAAAAGCTCTTAACGCACGTGTCTCACCCAATGAAATACTAGCATTTTGAGTGACGAATGAAGACTGGGTGTCAACGATTTTTTCGATGAACTTATTAGTTTGAGAAAACTCATTAGCTAGCCTATGGCTCATAATTCGCCCACAAAGGGCCTTTGTTGTCTCATCGAATGTGTGTAGTTACCAGCAACGTAGAATTATGTTTTGTAGTCCTAATAATCTCCAGTCTGTTGGTCGAGGTACAAAATAAACAAACAAACAAAATTTACTAAAAGTAAGCAAAGCTTTCCTAAAGTTCCCAAGCTAACCGAAGCCATTAAGTTGTCTTAGGACACTGATTAATGCTGTTTTTAATTGCCTTTTGTTATTTTATCAAGATTTATGTTATCTTGATTTCACCACACATCTTCGGAATGCAGCAATCAACGGGGCTTTTTTTAGTCTGTAGAATTACTTTGAGCAGACAGGCAGACCCTTTGACCACACAAACTTCGTGCTCCCTCGAGCCAATTTTTGTTGACGAAATTGCTTCTTGAAGGTATGTTCTGAATTTTCTAAGCTGTTAATTCTTCGAAAGTTCGAGCTTCCATAGAGAGAGAGAGTAGAGATAGATTTATCACAGAAAAACAGATCAGACTTATTCTCTAAAAAGACTGGAAACAATTCGCAAAATACCCTACGGAGAATTTGTTACCGGTTGCCTTACAGGTGTAATGTTAGACCCGAAATTGTGGGAAAATTACAGCGATAATTTTTGGAAAACTAGAGACAACATTAACGCCCCTTCGCAGAAATTTACATTTCTCAAAATTTGTTCGTAACATCTCTTTTACTTGTTAAACACCGTAGTTTTAACTGACTTTTTTGGCAAGTCTTTCCATTGCGTGTTCTAAGCTTTAATAGTGTGTCCTTTGTGTGTTTTATCCTGTTCAAAATGGTGCGGAAAATTCATAAACTCATCTGTTCTACTCCTAAAATATCAGGTGCTTACGCCTATAACAGACTGATCTCGCAGACTGTAGATACTGGAAGCGCAGTCCATGTATTAGTAGTTGAGGCTCAATAATGACTTTGCAATCTTTACTTAGCTCGTAGGGTCTCAATATTTTCAGTATCTTTTTTTCGGGGACGTTTTAAATTACCTTAAACGTAAAGCAAATCCCCTATGCATCAAATCGAATTTGTGGAATAACAAAATATTACAGGGTAATGATAAATCAAAATGTGACAAGGACAGTTGAGGGTGTAGAGAGGGGCATGGATTTCAAATGAAAGGTTAAAGAAATTTAGGCCAAAGCTTCTGGTAGCAAAATCCTTTACAGTGCTCTTTTTGACATATCGATACGAGTTCTCCTTACTGAATGCCATACTTTTCATCAAAATTTGTTTTGAGGACTTAGTGTAGCATGAAAACAAAAGATACTACTTGATAAGCAGCACGAAAGCTATGATAATTCTCTGTATTCTACACAGCTCTCTACTTTCTTTGATTTGTGGGAATAAATTTAGGAGAAATCGAGTATTGGTCAGCCACGTCAGGTTGAATTTTGTATCTGCCATTCTGTTCATTAATAGTTTCCGCTTATTTATCTTGGCTTTGGGACGTTCATGCATTTCTGTCACTTTATCTTCGCCATGCGTACCAACGCCTGCTAATTACCCTGTCATCGTATTCCCTTGCAAATGCAGTTATCTCGTCTACTCTGTTTCTTTCGTCTCTATTTCGTCTCATTTCTAAGTTTCACCGCATCAGAAACTAGCACATTAATTCAAGAAATGATTGGGAACTATCTCCAAATGAGTTCATTTGCTTGAATAATTTGTGCATGGATTGTCCACTTTGTTTACTTTCAATTTTATTTATTCCGAGACAAATAACGGAACCATATAAACAAACCTCTCATCTAGCGGCCTTTCTTGTCTTCAACAGCGACCAGTCGTCCTCCTTCGACTTTAACTTCTGTAACAGAAACAAACGAACCATTGAGTGTGGAGTCATTGTATCCTTCACACTTAGCGTAAGAATATTCCTACCTCCGTTAGAAAATCTCTTCACTACGATAATGTGATTTTCAGGGCAGGCTATCACTATCCGCTGATAAGGCGTTGATTTCCGACCTTCGCTGGCTCCTGGAATCTGTGCTGGTTTTTCATTCGATGCATTTTCCATGATGTTTTCGCCTGGTGTAGCTCCACCGCCGAAATTGTCTGTGTATCCCTGGGAGTGTGTTTGACTGCTTGGCGATTTCTCTGTTACTATTTATTAAGGTTGTGAGTTCGAAATCTGCAAAGCTGCAAGCGTTGGGGTATTTTGCATGAGCTAGATGCTATTTTTCCTTCCCTTGCCAATCAAAAGAAAAACCCTTTACAATGGGAGAATCCCAATAGATTCCATTGTCATCTCGAGGTACAACTATAATGCTATCATTGTTAATGTGGTTTCTGGGTTTTTCCCTAATTTCGTTTCTGTGTGATGTGCATCGGTTTCTTTCCAATTTTATTTTAACCTCATCCTGTACTTCAAGTCTTTTTAAAGAGTGTTAACAAATTATTTCCTCTCTGCCTTTGGGAGCTTGTGTCAAAAGACGGAGCAAAACTTTTCTTATGGTACTGCTAATCATGATCTGCAAGGCAAGATCTTTTTTAGTCTGGGGACAAAACTCTAGCAAGTGACAATCAAAAACTCTAGTAAGTGTCAGCCAAAATGAGAGCTACAGAGAAATACTTTCATGTGGTTTCCTCTTCATTCTATTTTGCAAAGTGGTTATACCTTTGAGTTCTGAAGATAAAATCCTGTTGTGTGACTATTCAAATGAAAACTACTGATCAATACTCTCATGTAGTACTTTCTCTTATGCTGCACAAGGTGGCTCTAATTAAGAGCTTGTCAAAGAAACTTTGGAGTGTGAACATTCAAATGAAAGCTTCTGAGCAGCAGTAGTTTGCTGTACAAAGTGATCCTAACTTTTACGTCCCTACATAAAAACCGAAACTTTGTTGACCGTTCATAGCTGTTCTGTTGGTTCTGTTGGAGAGACTTCACAAAGTGCTAAAAGTTTTTGACATATCTTGAGTCCCTAAAGGAGTAAATGCAATAGATGTATGTGTTACTCTTCAAGACACTGAAATCCAAGAAGATGTTTGACATGTTTTTTCTGGTCTGGGTTGTGCTGTTACATTAGGATGTTCTAGAAGACTCGATCACCTAGTGATCAGAATGGAGCCTCAACCATCTTTTAGTCAGCCTAATGACAGGGAAAATCAACCCTTAGACTTTGAACAGGGTTTCCTTGAGTGCGTTTTAACAAGGAGTTGGGCATAATTATTGGATCAAATAAAATTTTCATTATTTTTGGTTTAATTTGGGTGATAAGCCAGCTGATTTACTTATACATCTGTTTAACTGTCCTGCAATGCAGTTTAAAATGTTTAAAAGAGATATTTTAACCATGTAGGCGAATATTATGCTTGCAAAAACGATTTCCGAATATTCATTCTAGGATATTCTTGTCGTTTCTAGAACATCACAATCAACTGCCAATGCCAATTGGTAATATGAGATTTAAAAACCTTTAAGATACATAAAGCAAGATAAATTAACTTCTAGTCTGTATATTTGCAATCACCCACGTAAAGTTACGTAATCTCTCTTTTATAGAGTACTATACTATAGTCTGCGTACAATAGCAATTGCTAGGATAGACGTTCGTCTTCAGTTTTGATTTCCTGACCTTATTGTTTTCCTCCGTGTCGAGTAAACGAACGACTCAGTCCCTGATTTTAACAGCTCTATTGTTGTGCGTGTAATTTTATGAGATGTTCGGTCAAAAACCAAAATTCTGGAGACTTCTGGGAAGACTTCTCATAGCATTTCGGTCGTTCGTTGAGCTGTCAATTTAATGTCACGACTACACCAATCACAAATCACAAACAAAAAACGTCAAAATTGAATGGCCAGTGCTGTATTAAAGGACACCGAAATCTCTCGCACAGTTGTCTTGTTTGTTGCGTAACTGAAAATGTTGGCTTAGTTGAGTAATATTTGGAAGAACTGTAGTTGATAACTTCAATGCAAATGGAGGTTGGAAATGATGCTCGAAATTTAAGGTGTGTTACTGCTATTCTTTGTTCTAGTTTTTTTTCACTTGAAGCAGAAGAGACTCACTTTGTTCAGTGAAGAATATCAGAACAGCAGCACTTCGTTTTTTAATTGTTTATCAGTGTAGTGTAGCAGAGGAACGAAATGTTGTACTGCAGCTGATAAAGTTCATGATAGTCTTCATAAGGTTGGCACAACTAAAAGGGCAGAAATTCATAATCTCGGTGATCTTTTACATTGTGCTCTTACAAAAGCTTTTGTCGTAAAGAAATTTGGTCGCTTGCTCAGCACGCTTACTATTTTTTTTTTTTTTTTCGGTAAAGGAGCATTTTACTTTTAGGTATGGTCGGTGTTCGTACTTCGTGATATTCTTTTCCTTGCGTTTGATCGCTCATTCGTACCGCGCTTACCATTAGCTTTCAACCAAAGAAACTATTTATTTCATGGAGTTTATCTCTCATCGCCTGACTCATCGACAAATAATGCTAATCAATTCCACCCTTTCATGATGGGGAGGAGCTACACGTAAGGAGAAAGTAGATTCTTATCTCTCGCATTTCAAGAGGAATTCAAGTCGTTCGAGGTATTTCGAGTCTTTTCCGAGTAAAACGTGCGTGCGCGTTGTATATAAACCTTTTGATTGATGGTCGTATTATTCTTCGACATTTTCGAGGAAATTTACGAGATCAAACTGCAGAATCTTATGTAGTCACACAGAGGAACTTGTTTAAGAAAAAACTCAGTCAATTCATGGAATTTATTTCGTAGCCATTCTTTTAACAAATTACTTGGGCTAAACATGCTTAACAGGAGCATTCTCTTCACTTGATCGGCCTCAAGAAAGTTTCCTAGGTCTAGAGAAAAAAAATTGGAGTCTATTTTAGACTTAAAACAGATGTGGAGGTGCTAATGTAATAGAAGATTGTGTAACTGATAGTGTTACTAACACTAAATTCTGTTTATGGTGTAATTCAAAGTAATTTTTTGCTCTAACAAGTAGGGTGAGAAATAAAAATTAATATAAAAAAAATAAATTTGGTACCTATCTAATGAATCGAATGAATAAGTGTCTAAGGAATTTGTGGGTTTTACGACAGTATCAAAATTATAAAAAGAAAATTGATAAATGATAACTAGGCTTACCGAGGAATTCGGCAAATACGTTCTAGTGACAGCGAGTTGGAAGCCATAGTTTTCAATCGTGTATCTTCTATGAACGTCTCCTTTAAAAGACGAGAAGCAATGTTTTCCAAGATGTGGTTATCAAGAAATGCAACGAAAAAAAGCACGTAGAACATTACCTCGCTTTCCTCGTTTGATTCCTACAGTGTTTCCAGCGGTAGTTATGATTGAAAGATGTCGTCCATTGTGCTCTCTTAAGTCGCTAACCAAGAATCCAGCTTGGGCCGTAAATGCTGCAAGTAGTTTTTCAGCTTAGTACTCGTAGAAACTGTCAAATATTTGGATGAAATTCGACAAACATAAGTCAATATACTTACTTCGGTTTGTTGATTCATACAACAGTATCGCTTCTGGAGAAGAAGAGGAAGAACTTCTCTTTACAATCACAAACTCGACGAAATCATTGGAAGGCTCATCCGGCTCAGCCATGTTGCATTTGATTGAGAACAGTGATAATGAACGGAGTCGTCTACACTTTTGCCAAAAAGGCCGTCCACGTGCTTCAGACGTCCCAGTGACATGCGCTCCTTGTGAAATTGGGGTTAGCATGCTAATTTAGCTGGTGCGTCATGCTCAAACATAGGCAGTCAAAATGAGCTCATGTCGCCGGCCAAAAAGGGTTCCTTGCAATCCACAATTCACTTTTTATGGAGTACATTTTGAAGCTTTGGTTCTGTGGCCGAAATCTTATGATTTTGACTCTGATAATTTCCTTCTCGTTCTCAAGTTGAAATATTTGCTCTGAGAGGTGGTAGCCTTACGTTTGTTGTGACTAGTTCGTGTTGCATTACAGTGCGCTTTTAATGAGGGAAATCAATAGGTATAGAAAAACAGGAAGTAGGCTTGAGTCAATCGCAATTCACTAGGACTTAGAAATTCTTGTGATAAGAGGACGAGGATGTAGTGGAATTCTGCCAAAGATTGAGATATTCACAACGTATCCGTTCGTCAAACTACCTAGTTTGTTGTTGTCTCGCTCCACGCACGTTTCTCGCGTTGCTTGCGCGCGAGTCAACTAATGCGCCACAGTCTGTTTACCAAGTCTGCGCGCAGTGTCATCTTTACTCCTACGTTTGTCGTCATGCTCGAAGAACTTTAACTATCACTTTACCACTGAGTAATGTACAACACATGACTTTTAGATGTGTTAGCCTTTCCAACTGTGAATATTGATTTAGTCGAAAACGATGAAAAGGGGTGGGACTTTAGGTAGTGAGAGAACAGATCTTCATCATTTCACCCAGAGTAATTGGGCTATTTTAGATATTGCATCATTTTTTTCACAAATGTGTCCTTTTTGGCCGACTTCTCTTAGAAACAAACTTATAAGGATTTGCGTTTGCTGTTGCGTTTTTGTACCGTATAGCTGTAAGACAGTAATTTTTGCGCACGAAACTCAATGGAAACGCGTAAGCACATGGGATTAAGTGATCATGTTTATTCGACTAACAAAGTCATTACAGTGCGATTTTCTACATTCAGGAATCGTATCCTCTTCATTCCTAACTCTGCAAAGAAGGACAGCGATCTGATTAAATGAGAAAAGAAGTGCGAAAGACGTAAATTCAATCTTAGGCGCTCCTTTCATGGAGTAAACAGACGCGACAGTAAGTCACGAGCGAGTGAATGCTTCCATTTTGCTCGTGAGGCCCAGTAGAAGTAAAATTTAACAACAGCGCTTAGAACTGATCGGTGATCGCGAGACATGAGCACATAGCTGTAGTTTTTGGATTCCTCCATGTGTTTCATCGTGGATTGAACTTATAATGGGGTAGTGCTGTGCTTCGTTTACAGGAATTGAACAATAACATAATCATGGCGACCAGAACTCGTACTCAAAAAGATGATCTACTAATTGCGCAAAGAGCGAGGATCTTCCTAGCTTGATATCGATATCATATCGTCATTTAGTTTCTGTTACATCACTTTACTTTATCAGCGCGGGGCCTCCGCTCATAGATCCTTCCTTCGTAGATGGTTAACGAAGGTTATTCTTCGTTGATCGATAGTATAAAGTGCTATACAGTAGAGCTTTATTTTGTACATCTTACCTTGCTCAAACGCTCACCGTCTTTACTTCAGTTAACTGATATCCTGATGTACTCATCCTGTAATCTTAAAAGGGGAGATATCGTGTACTTGAATTTAAATATTCTTTTCTCATAACAAACCTCAATGACAAACTTATCAGCAATATACCATTTGAGCCATGGCGCTCGATAACCAAAACGCCTCCCGAAGAAGTCACGATTCGTAGTTCTCTATAGCGGTGAAGATTAGTGTACCAGACTGATCTCTGCTTAAGTTCGTTGCGAACCAAACAAGCCCCTTGCACTTCAAATTCTGATGCGAAAAAGGGGAAAAATCATTACGAAAGTGAGTTTTGTCAACTGACATGTCAGACTTGGAAAGGCCACAGACATACCTCCATTTGGCTTGCGGAAGATCGTGGCTACAGATTCACCAAAACTATTTAGGACCTTGACAATTTCGCACGTATTAGAAACATAATCATCAGTTTCAAACCCGCTCATGACTAAAGCAAAAAGTGTGTATCTAGAAAGGGATGTTAGCTTGTTTGCTGCTAAGTTAAGTTGTGACGACAACGATAAGAGTAAGCCCTTTCTGGTGCAGAATTTATTCATGATATCACGATTCCCATAATACCAGTGAACACGGCGTCACTAGGATACAGCGGTTACTGTAGGAGTTTATATATGAGGATACGAACGGATTTTAATTGAAACGTAGCAAGCAATGTTATGCTTTTAAATTGCACCCAACTAGCACCAAATAAATGTTTCTTGAAATTTTTTTCTCCCTTGTAACCATGTTTTTCATTGTATCACTCAAGGAGTTGAAAAAACCTCTAGGGCAACATTCACTGACTTAGAAATATGAATAATTGAACTTTGAGTACAACAGTAAGATGGATAAGATTTTATTTGGGTGGTTCGTCAATAACTGGTCGTAAAAAGGTGCATTTCTTTTATTAGAAATAATGGTATTAACAATAAGCAACAACTTTCACGCGCGTTGTGTTTCTAGGTGTCAGTACTAGCTAATCTTGTGAAATGATGCAGGCAAAGTTTTATTGACATCAAAGTGTGAACTCTATTTCCTTCCTTTACACTCGAAACGGTTATTTTCAGTGATTTCTGAACTTGCTGTATCAATGGTGTTGAATATTCTGAAACCAAAATAAGAAAAAGAGAACGTTTTTGTTGTCACTTTAAACGAACTATAGGATTTTACCAACATAATTATGCAAGTTTAAGTTTTCGTCACGGCAGTTTATCTCAGTACCTTTTAAACTCCACTTAATTATCATTTAAGAAAGAAAGATTCGTACATTGCATTAGGATAGATTGGATTACAGCACCATGCATACTAAGAGATTATGTTCGAGTGTTGGTGGACACTGAGGAGTCGATCAATTCAGGCCACTTACCACAGCTAATAGGAAACTGTTTTCACGCTCATCCAGTTTTCCTCGTCAGTGCTATAGGCTGTTAAGAAGAAAAAGTGTGATTTGTGTCAACAAAAAAAGAGCAATAAGCAAGTAGAATGATAGAAAGTGACAACTTCAGAAACTGGCGTTTACAGCCGTCTTTATGTACCATCGAATGTTTGAGAGTTAAAATAAGGAAATGCAAAAACCCTCACAGACCATTCACTGAAATATATCGCATATTGACAGCAAAAACAACAAAATAACTTTACTTCACTATAGACTTACAATAGTAAAGAGTGTTTAATGTTAAACCAAGAAAAGGAGATTAATGATAGAAGTTTAACTTCAAGACGTAACTTAAGAGTTAAAAATGTCAGACTGCCAGTTAAAAGGAAAGATATTTCATGCTTAAAAGGAAAGACATTTTATGTTTTTGGCTCGGGGACCAGAAACAAACTAACATAGACATACACAAACAGAGATAAGTAAAGTTAATTCAACTACATGTACTAGTTCACACACACAAAAAAAATTAACAAAATCAAATTAACTGCCAATAGAAAAATGTTCTTGCAATGCAAAACTCTATTTTTATCAAGGAAGGAATATCTACAGATATCTCACAATTTGTGTTTTACTTCCTTAGTGTTTACCAACTTTGGCCAAACAATCATTGAATACATTGAGAACAAGTTTAAGTTCAATAATTTCGGAATTAATTTCCACAATCTCACCAAGTCTCTGGCTAGTATGTGACTCGAAATGTTGTATTTGCATAATACTCATCCATATCCTTTGCCATCTCTAATGTTGTCGAATAAATTCTTATAGTGGTATTGTCTTTTGCCTATTTTTAGATGGTTCTATTTTTAGTTTAGTTTGTTCATGTATTGCCAAAAGTTCGTTTGGGAATAGGTGCTCTTTGTCTTTAGGCATTTCTTGTAATTATAAAATTGAACTCGAATAGGTCAGTTTTCGAAGAGCATTAGTTATCAATGCCTTTGCTTTAAGCTTTTTTTCCCTTCGAGATGGTTACTTAACTGGTTTATGTTTGTCTATTGAACTCGAAAGTTTTGAGTAGAATGATCTAAACAAAGTGCATGTACTGGCACTAGACACAAAAACAGTTTCCAAGTCAATTAACTTAATGCCATCGATCAAGGGCCGCTGATTAGTTTTCGAGTAATCCCTCCTAAATATTTTAATACTGCAAGGAATTGTTTTAATTTCATTGAAAATTAGGAGGGGGGTCAGTGAGATCCTGCACCATGTTACCACTGTTGGTAAAGTGCCCTACTGAATTGAAAATATAATCAATTGATACTTCTTTGAGTGATCTGTGATTGTTTTTGGTTGCAATATGTAAGGCTAGAAAATGTATGAGGCCAAAGCATTGATGAAACTATCAGTTGCTTTATAGGATTCTACTTTTGTAAAGATCTGTGGAAAAGTCTCCTCTGATTAGGCTAATTTTGTTTTACCTGATTGATCCTCTCAGCTATAGAGCTCAGATATTTAATAAATCTGTCCAGATTACCGAGTGGGTGCCACTAAAGAATTCCACATAATAAATTTGAGTAACGATCATTATGTACTTAAATCCACAAGGCTTCAAAATCATTGGCAGTGTTTGTTAATTCAGGTCTTTATGGTAATACTCAACCTATTGTTTTTATAAACAGTGACATTTAGCATTGGAGAAGCTTTGCTGTAGGAGAAACTGATTTCCGCATGTAATGAGTTGTTAAAAAATGACCACAGCTCGAAATGAGCTACCTATGTTTTCTTTTTGCGTTGCACCTTCCTTGAGGCGTTCAAGTAAACATTTTGCGGTATTTCACTAATGTTAGCTTTGACACCGGTGAACGAGGTTAACTCTAGGTCTCCTCGAGATCTATCGCTGCCAAATATATCAATCTCAAGAAATCTGGCGTTGGTCAGAAAGATAAATAAATGTCATGCAATTGAGAGACAAAAACGGAATTGATTCAAATTCATCTACACATACCTTCTCGCCCACGTCGGGTCACGACATAACTATATCCTGAGTTGTTGGATGTTACTGTTACTCTTGTGTATCCCTGCCAAGTTCTTGTCGACTCAGTGAACCATCCATGCTTTGCGCCAAAAGCTAAGAGGGTCCAAAATCGCGTCAGAGTGAGGTCAAACTCTTTAAATGATATAGGAATCGTTTCATAAGCCATGTCGTAAACCAAATAACAACTCACCTCCTCTATCTAGATCGTAAGTCAAAACAACATCGACATAGTTGTTGGGATGAAATCTTTTTCGAAGAGACACTTCTTCTCTAAACCGCGGCTCGGGTGTTGGATACCAAGACATTTCCTTCAGGTTATCCTCTGTATAAATTGCGATGTTTCTTAGAGAGCGTCCTCTACGCGCAATGCAAGTCAAACCGAAAATGGCCGCTGTATTTCGCACTCAACTCCTTTTTTTTTTCTTTTTTCGTACTCTCAACTCCTCTGATTGGTTAGTGTATGGCCTCGCTTTCATGTTCGCGAGCACGCTTCCTGCTTCGCGTCACTTTTATCCCTCGCGTGAGAATCTTGGCAGAGCGTCTGTTTACGCTCTCAAAGTTGAATCTTGGCAGAGCGTCTATTTACGCTCTTAAGAAAGTGAATTGTATTTGTGTCTTAAAACTGGGTTTGAGTTTTTGTAATGGCCGTTACGCAGTCAGTAATTCGCGACTTACTGGGCTTAGTGGGCACTTTTGCTGGTATGAAAGTAACAATTATTGTTTATTACGATGAAATGGGGGGCGCACGTGTCTTCAAGCCTTCCTGAATGACAGGAAGAAATAAATCCCTCCCTTACGCGCACACGCGTTCAGCTGCGCGTTTCCTCTCGTGCGCAAGTATTGTTTTTTCGCATGCCTTTTCTCTCATGCTAGGATTCGATATTTCTTTTTTACCGACACACTGTAATTTTGCTAATTTCTTAATTTTTATTCCTCACTAAATTTTAAGAAATTCTATTTTAGGTGAAGGCAGTTTAACCAGTTGAGGCTTGCAGTTTTAGTGCTATCATTTTCAAAATCAATATTTTGCGTGACCTCATCATTTCAATCATCGTAAGCCCTCATCGTAAGACGCGTAGCGGTTTCATTAACATTCAGAGGGCGGAGCGAAGGCAAGGAGAGAATTGACTCTGAACAGTGCGGCGAGAATGTTCTATTTTCGCCTCAGTGAGGTAATTTAATTATTATTTTTTTAATTTGTGGTTAATCGCTGTTATGTGGAGATTTGTCGTTTTTAAAGCTTACAGAGTTGATTTCATGCTCTTGCGACAATAGTTTTTACCAATAGACATACAAGGATGAACGTTTCGTGTTGTTTACTGTAGTCAACATGATTTTTATTCACATAACAACTCAGTGAAATGTTTTAATGAAGTTAAATGAATGGACTGTCTGGCGAGCTCTTGTCAATTGCGGTCCCCTTTGAGCGATCCTATGAAGAAGAAAATACATCTCTCATTATTTGCCTAGAGCAGAAATGACTAGTTATAGTGAGAAGAGCAGACGTGCTGACACGTTAAATCTAACGCTTGTACCGCGGTTGTTCGACATCCTATGCGCGTCTTTCTGTGTCTTCTTTTGGCCAAGTAAAGAAAATTACACTCATAGGTCTCAAAAGGTTAAATAAGATTTAACGCACAATGAGAGTAATACCTTCGAATTTGAACTAGTGATACGAAAGCGAACGAAAGAACTTACCAAGAAGAAGATCAAGCAGAAGGAGTATTTTCTCGATTTCATAAGTTCACACGGTCCAATCTTTCTCCCCAAATGTTATCTTGTGAAGTGGTGAACTGAAATTCTACGGGAACAAATTATGAGGTCCTCAGAACAAAAATCCGCTCTTAAACGGCTTACAAAGAAGGACTCACTTACCGCCCCCAGAATCACGAGTGAAGCCAAATGTGTATCCGCGCGCCGCAACAACTGTTATTGTGTGTCGTCCGTAGCGCTGTGTCGAGTCGAAAATGATTCCTCCCTGGACTTCAAACTCTAACACGTGAAAAAAACAAAATTATTAATTTTAAAATACAATTTTCTCAAAGTAAAGGCGTCAAAATGTTGTAAGGAATGCTATTTTAACCGTGACTTACATCCTCTTCCCGAGTTAAACTTGTAGAATATTGTTACATCATGAGGTCGAATTCTTTGTCCTCTTTCTTTCCTTCCAACATTTATTATGTCACAAAATCTTGACGATGGCTCCGGTCCCTGAAACCCTGCCATCTTTTATCTCAAAGTTGATGAGCAACGTTTTTCCACCGAGTATAATTTTGAGTTTGTGAGACTTTATTCACAGGCGCATTTGCCAGGCCTCATGCGCAGAAGCGAGAATACATTTTCTTGGTGCGCATTTCCTTGAAATTAATATACCTAATTCTAGGTTGTTTATTTCAGACTTTCGTTATTTTATTTATCCCCTGAGAGTCTCTCCTGTGGCATTTTGATTTCAACCTTAGTGCTTAAACTGAGGGAGTAGAGTTAGTAGTTTCTGTACCAGCCGAGGTATCTACTGTCGAAACTAAAGAAATTTATCTACAATCTTATAAATCGATTTGGAGTCTGTTGATTAACTCAACTCAATATGTTGGATTTATCTCTTCATATTTCAGTTAAGAAATTGTTGCGGAAACTCCGAGGAAGCAAAGGCTTATGTTCCTTTATAAAGATTCTGGGATATGGAGAATTTTAGCCGTTAAATTAAGAATATTTGCAAGTGAAGCACGACCAGTGTAATTATGCAAACACTTTAATAAACTAATGTAGCTCAGTGTACAATAATTTCGGCTTTGTGCGAAGAGGAGCCCTACTATCTTGAATGATTCAAATAGATAACATCAAAACGAACTGAAATGTGTGCAGGAAGATCAGCTTTGAGGCTTCTGTTTGATATAACTCCTCCCTGAATCAAACCAAATCCTCCAACCTTTTGTCTCGTTTGCGCTATAGACTCCTGTTCGGGTAGGAAAGAAAAGATGAATACAATTTTACTACTCTGACTTGAATACGAGATGGCCAAATTTGATTCTACTCGGAGAACTTCAAGTACGATGACGATGATGACTTTATTTTAACTCACAGTAGAATATATTTCTAAGCATAAATTTAATGGCGACTACGCGAAATGGCAAGATGGCGTCGCTTCGATACGTACCTTTTTTTCGTGTGATGATGTACATGGATCCTCCATTTGATTCAACTGTCAAAGTGATAGTTCCCAAATTATTATCTTTCTCAACCAATATTATTTTGCCGTATTTGACATTAAAACCTGAAATGATCCAATTTACAGCTAAGAAATTTTGACCTGTTCATCAAAGTGAAACTCATATCAGACAACAACTTACTACTTGTCTTCGAATTGTAGGTTAATATTACATCTGGAGAAAGTATATTCCAAAAACGTATTCCTATGTTCACTGTTTCAATGAAGTCGTTGAAAGGTTCATTCCCCTGATATCCGCTCATGTTTGAATTTGTTCAGCTTTTCTTGTGTGTCGAAGGGTGCTACGCAATGCACGCACTTTTCGATCGCTAGATCTCTTGTTCAATTTTTGCATCCTTTCACGCGCACGCCTCGCATTTGACGCTGTCAAGCTGTCAATTTCACGTCCTGCCTACATTAATCAAGTCTCGGAAAACAATACTCGTCACAATTTAAATGGTCTGATGTCTTTGAATGCGTCGAAATCTCTCGTACCTCTCGTTGTTTGTTGCGCAAGTGGAAATGTTGAATTTCTTATCAAAGATTTGAAAATATTCTGTTTGATGGCTTCAGTATGAGTGGAGGATGTCAAAGATAATCGTAAGGTGTGTTGATGTGGTTTTTTTTTTCAAATTCTGTGTCTTTTACTCGAGATAGACTTTCTGTGTTCCTTATAAAACGCATTATATCTGTGACGCACCTCTTTGCTCTGTTTCTAAATATCGACACGTAACAAATTGGAGCTACCATGACAGTAATCCTGCGCGTCGATGAAATTCGAAGAAACCATTTAGTTTACATCGCAGTTTTCTTTTCTTTTCGCTGAAGCTTGTCTTCTTAAATAGCTTGCTTTGTTTGCGCACTGAAAGCCTGTTGCATTATTCTGTAAAGTGATGGAATTTTGAGTGAAGTATGGCTACTTTGTGAGTTTAAAGTGATGTTGTGGCTAGCTCAGGTGTAGGTTTTCGTGAATAATCCAAGAATCTTGATAAGCTTTTTAAAACAAATTTATTCCGCGAGACGACTCTTTCGTTGCGTGAGATATCTGACTTGACAACAAAGAATTTAATTTAATTCCACCGTCATCAAAAGGGAGGGGCCAAACTTAAGAAGAAAATAAATCTTGATCTATTGACCTTCGAGCGGCGTCCGGATAATGTTACGCTTGAGGCAAATTATTATTAAACAAGAAGTCATTTCTCCATCTTGAGTAAAGCATTCCTTTGCAGTGTTTGTTCATCTTTTCTTCGAATGGTCATATTAATTTATAGCCTCATTCAAAACGTAAAATAGACAATTGAAGTATGTAATACTGTTCTTGAGCCTTTGTTTGAACTGTAAGAAATCGTTTTTTACCACCTACAGTAAAACGCAGTTGCATTTCTCTTGTTCCGAATGTTTCAACTTCTTGAATTATAGAGAATAGTTATCAAACCTTGCTCTTAACTCGGTTTAGTTTGCTTAGTGCGTTTAAGTCGCACTCAAGCTGTGTCCATTCCCGCTTAGTATCGTGTATCTTTCCTCGATGTCTTCGATGTTTTGGAACAAAAAGCATTTGTTGAAGCGACTCTTTCCTTGACCTACCTTGCTTTGCGCAACGAGTCTCGATCTTGTCTCCTGTCGAGGTTACGACTGACAGTGCACGCCCAACTTGAACGGTTAATTCTATCATTTATTTAGTGTAGTATTCTAGGAAAGGTGTTGTTAAATTGCGCGGGAATATCGCATGGCGCTATGTCCTTACCACTGCCTCGTAATTCAGACAACGTTACCGCTCCCCGAAAACTGTTGTATCTGTCCTTCTCTACATGTACGAATTCCACTAAGTTATTGGAGGGTTCTAGCAGTTCAGCCATGGCAGTTTGGCATGAGAAAATAAGACATTTTTTAATTGACATTTTGCTTTACTAACGACCTGCGCTTTTAGACGCACTGTTGCTTTCCCTAGGCATGCATGCCTTATGCTAATTTCCTTATGACATCGGGCGTGAAAACCTCTTTGGAACAATAGCAACGAACATGCTTTTCAAGTCGATAAACGGTTTTAGCGCTCGGCAGGTACTCTGTCTCTTGCACTATTGTTAACAATGTTAATGTGACTTAAGTTTTCTTCAATCACATTTCATATATCGACTTCAAATTTGTGATATTAATTGTTTCCTCTCGCGATCTTTATCTTGATAAAGATGTTATTTCATCTTGTCATTTCTTGCGTGCGAGTGATCACGTTAAACAGATTCAACCATAGGGGAAACGTGGGCACTGTAATACTTCACCTCAAAACTTTATTTATTGCTTTCCACGATTATTGAAATATTTTTAGGTAAATGTTCCATAGTCTTTAAAGCTTTCTTGTGACTTCCGAAAGATTTCTGCAAATAAGATCAGAAAAAAAGTTAGAATATATCAACTCTAAAATCGACTTATTTCACGGCCTGTACTATCAGTGTACTTATTATCATAATCGGTGCTGCTGTATTGAATGAGCTGCGCACTCAAGAAATGAATCTCAGATTATATGTATAGCGTATGACATGATCAGAATAGTTGTTAATGACAATGATGTAACCAGCAAAGTATTTCGCTTGCTAACGTTGGGAAAACATGACTGCACATTTTTATGGTTTAATTGAACGGCTTACCTCATCATATTTATGTCTTCTCGACCTCTATCCAATTCCTATGGTTAGTTTCGTATACTGCGAAGAAGATTTAGCAAGGATGGTATAAGGTCTAAGTTATGAGAGGATATAATTCTCATAATAGCTGTACTTGTATATCGTGCAATTTAGCGATTAGCATGAAGACATGGCTAAACAGGAGTTTCTCTAATTATAACGAGTGTCTATACCAAGGATGACGAGTCTTAAGTGAAACCGTAACAGAGAAAATATGGAAGAGTACATCGAAAAGGAAGGTCAGCGAGCAGATAGCCATGGCTGTAAATGCGTGTCCTACATCTCTTCAAATTTTCCTATCATAACCTACACTAAATGAACAAAAAGCTGTTAAACTTCACTCATTTGCCACAATCGCCGATCTAGATAAACATACCTCCTCCTCGCTTTCGGATGACAGTGTATTGGTGATTGGAGTCGGAGAGAATCGTCAATTTAGTAGATCCACCTTCGCTTTCCTTGTTTTTAAGAGTGCCATAGATGACGTCGTAATCTATCAAGATTCGAATTAACAATCAAAACAAGTAAATGGATTCCTAGAGATACAAAGAGGATTTGTGGCAGACTCACTTCTACTTTTCGTGTCGTACGTTAATACCACATTGGCAACCAAATGCAGACCTATTTTCCCGAGGGAAACGGTTTCAAAGACGGGAGGCGGCTCAGGAGGTTGGTACGAGGTCATTTTACTCTTCTTAGTTTGAATAGACTTGCAGATATAGCGAATGAGATGTTGTTTGCGTTTTGTCGAAGCACTGCGGCAAAAGTGCTTCGACAGACACATTTTAAAGCAAATTTTATCCCCCTGGCTGTTTCTGATTGGTTGCCTTCTAATCTCCATTTTACGCGCGCAAACCTCAAGGTTAGTGTCTACCCGTTGGTGCGTTTTTTTTTTGGTATTTTTCTCATCATCGTTTCATAGGATATGGCTGTCTTATCAATCAGTGTGTGCCTATTTACAACACTTGTTTTAATTATCTCTCGATCATAGTCGAATTCTTACACCGATTTTGAGCAGAGTCGCAGGCGAGTCACTCTTTATTTTTACAAGATACGCCATTTCCACCTCTCTCTTTCAATTAGACAGCATTTTAACCTCGCTTTCATGTCTGCGCATTTGCACCTTTTGGTTTTGTGTTCATCTAAATTGACGCGGGTAGTTAATTTCTCGTTTAACCATCGTGTTTTTCGATTTTACCTCCTGGTTGGGGTATTCATCCTTCCAGCTCTCATCTGTTGTCGCAGAAGCTTTTGCCTGCCTTGAAATGTGACGCGTTATGAATCAGTTGTGGAGTTGAAATGAATAAGTATTGCATGTCATTTTTTATTTGGGTAAGATGTTGAGCATTTGTAGGATTCAATCTGAGCGAGTTGATATTTGAGACTCTTAGGTTTCAGAGACACGAGTTCGACTTTGACTTCAAGTTTTTCCCATAGTGACGAAAGCGTACCCTGACTAAACACCAACGTTAATTTGGTTACGAAATGTTTTACATCAGATTTCTACGGACTAATTTCGGTAAGAATGCCGTAGTTGCTGAAACATGTTTTTAACACGCTAGTACTTATCTCATTTGTTATTACAGACAAAAGCTTCATTTCATCTAAGAAGTAAATTTATCAACTTTGTTGCTTACGGCGGTGGTCAAATCCTTACTCAGTAGTATTTTTTACTCGTCGTGTGCTCTCATGGCCTCTAATGAGTGACTAAATTCGATTGAAGTGACAATATTCATGTCCATCGAAAATAGGGCGAGGGTAGAGTTCATAGACTCTGCTCTGGCGTGCACACTCTTCTTTCACGCATTGAATGTTCATGCAGCAAAATTTCATTAAGTCATATATGTTTTATGCCATGCTACAAACTTTATTAGACTCTTGGTTCGTTTACAATCAACAGTTTCCTAGTGTTTTACAGAGTGGCTCTGGCAGTGCTCTTGAACAGTCTGCAATTGAGATGAAACAAGAAAAGAGCGCATTTTCATTGCAGATCACAAACACAGAAATTTATAACTACTATTTGCTTTAGGTGAGGAACATGCCTACTACCAAGCAGAGTACTTGGCCAAACTGTCATACTCAAGTCTCTGATTACTAGGTCTTACTCTGAGAAATATGTACACGCTTGTATTGTGAAGCGCGTCTTTCTGCGCCTATTCTGACCAAATAAAGAAAACTACATCTCTAAGTCTCAGAAGCTTAAACACTTTTTTGTGCACATTTAAGAGTTCGCCTTGCAGAATAACTTACCTTTACACTTCAACTTTTTTTCTTTTGATGTAAACATCTCTCCCGTCGGCGTTCACGTCATACTCTTTGTAGAAAAGAAGTGAATTGCTGTATCAGTAAATATTTTGCGCGAATAACGTTGAAACTTCAACGATGATCATGAATACCTACCTCCGTTTCTATATCGCCTGACTTCTATCACGTTAGCTTTTGAAGTAACGAGTTTCAATTTGCGGTATCGCCGGCCATAATTGCTTTCCTCTTTATCCTCCGATACGTATCCGTTGTTTACTTGAAACTCTGGAGATGTTTAAAAAAATACCGAGTTTAAGCGGGTGTTATCGCGTTCTTATCTCATACAGTTGTGCAGAAAGCAGAATTCAAACCTCTTTCTGTAGTGTAGAAAAAGTGTTACTTCAGCAGTATCCTCTTCGATGCCTATTTGGACTACTTCGCAGTATCTAGGCGCGTTTGGCTCTCGGGGTTGATATCCGTGACTCATTTTGATTGCCCACGGTTCTCGAGGAAATAGGCGATGATTTGTTGTTTAACTGTGATGCTTTTCTCAGCGTATAACCCTGATTTCTCGATATTTCTCCTCCGTTTTGTCGTATTTCGCCGCTTTACTTTTTTTACGCATGCGCGGCACAATATTTGCTTTGGCTGCACATTCTTAACTGATTGATAAGAAACCTATTTTTAGCTCCCCTTTTATGATCTAAGGGAACCTTTTTTGACATTGAAACGGATTGTTGTAGCCGCATAAGATTTCTTTTCATTGTTGAACAATGAACGATTAATCGTCGGTTTCCACCTTTCAGCTGCTCTCGAAAGACAACTCCTTCACTGATCTTGAATTCTAGTGGCAAAAAATTTCTGGAAAGTACCGCTCGATCCATTTGCTTTTATTTACAATATTTGTGTCCTTCGAAAATAGAGTAAGCGTGGAGTTCATTAACTCTGCTTTGGCGTGCACACGTTTCTTTTACGCATTGTATGTTCAACCAGCAAAATTATGTTAAGAGTCATATGTGTTTCATGCCATGCTACAAACTTTATTAGGCTCTTGGTTCGTTTACAATCAACAATTTTTCGGTGTTTAACAGAGTGGCTCTAGCAGTGCGCAGCAAAATTGCATTAAGATTCATACATGTTTTATACCATGCTACAAACTTTATTAGGCTCTTGGTTCGTTTAAAATCAACAATTTTCCAATGTTTAACAGAGTGGCTCTGGCAGTGCTCTTGAACAGTCTGCAATTGAGATGAAATAAGAAAAGAGTGCATTTTCATTGCAGATCACAAACAAAGAAATTTACAACCACTATTTGCTTTAGGTGAGGAACATGCCCACTGCCAAGCAGAGTACTTGGCTAAACCAACATATCCAAGTCTTTGATTACTAAGTCTTATTCTGAGAATTTTGTCCGCCAGGTAGCAAATTGTTTGTACAAGAATGGCTTTTATTCTAGAATAGCTTTAATAATAGATTGGCTTCCTTGTGCTTTTGTTAATATCGTGTGCCAGTATTTGCAAACAGAATATGATTGAGCATGTTGAATTTCATACACTCACCACAGTTAATAGGAAACAGTCTGAACCTTCATCCAGGTACCGCAACTAGTGCTATAATCTTTGATGAAGAGGAACAGGAAGAAGCACTTAACATGAACGGGTTACACAAACGAATAAAATTTTCTAAGGTAATGATTCGAAGGTATTCAGCGGACGATAGTTCAGACCACTAACATAATGAGACGTTGAACGAGATCATGTGAAATTGCGTAATCTGTTGACTGCGACAACGTTACAAATGCGTAACTCCCTATAAAAAGGTTGAAATCAGTGAGTCTTCACTTACCTTCTTTGCCATGCCGTGTTACTTCATAATTCCATCCACTTTTCGATTTGAGTGTCACCGTTGTGTCTGTCCCAGAGGTTTCTTCCGCTTTTATTTGTCCATACTTGACTCCGAACTCTGCATTTTCCGGATATTGTGTTAGTAAATTTGAGACTTCAGAGCTACACAAAACAATTAAAGCTACTTACTTTTTCTATCCAGAAAGTACAGTAGTATGACATCCGGATTGATATGCCATAAACGTGTTCCAAGGGATACTTCCTCACGTAGCCTAGGCTCTTCTCCCTCATACGACATTTCTCTTAAAAGAACTGTGATAGAAGGTTCGCACTGTCTTAGAGGCAACGTCGTATGCGCGTAATACGAATACACTGGGAGAAAGCTGCTTCGCTCAGTTGTTTTATCCAGCCCTTTGTTTGGGATTGGCGAGCTTTCGGTTTCGCTTCCTCGTTCGCGCGCGCTTCCCGAGCGACGTAATTTCCCTCGCACTCTTGCGCTTGTGTTGTTCGTTTGTTTACATTCTTACGTTGGGTCAATTTCTCTTTGTCACTATCTTACAACCAGATTTTAACTAAAGATTTGTTTACATATATCTTCTAGTATATCTTTTTCCTAACAAAGGTAATGCAGTCCGCTTAGTAATCGTTTGTGGTGCGATTATCGAAATCGGTCATTTGCTTGACTTGATTTTTCAATCATCGTCAACGTGCGTGTTACGCGTGAAAGGTTAAATTATATTCAGAAGGCGGAGCTACGGAAAGGAGAAAACTGACTCTGAACAGACTAGAATGGCAGGAATGCTTTATTTTTGCTTCGCTGAGAACATTTTAAAACTTTTTTTTTAGTGTCTGGGTACCTCCCACTATTTAGTGATTAGTGGCTTTTGGGGCTTGCTGAATCGGTTGCCTGTTATTGTCACAATAGTTTCAACAATGCACGAAAATGTATAAACATTTTGACAATTTATGGCAGTTAACATGATTTTTTATTTACGTTAAATTAGAATCAAGATCTGTGGGCTGTATCTCTTGTCAATCGAAGTCTTTCTTGAGCAATCCTCTGGGAAAAAAAATACAATTTTTGTTAGTTACCCTTAGCAGAAATGCCTATTTATAGTCAGATGAGTAGTATTGATTTCCAGCATGTTAAGCAAACCAAAAGATATGCAAAAAGGCGCTCACCTAGCAAATTCAATTTTGCCACAACTATCATGGGATTTACCGAAATCAGTCGAATTGGCAAAGCTTTGAGCGGTGAAATGGGCCCTCTTGTCGTAAGAACAAGCCAAATTGACTTTGTTATTCGCCTTTATTGAACAGGAGCTACTTATTGCGTACACGCTTGTATTGTGAAGCGCGTCTTTCTAAGCCTTCTTCTGGCCAAATAAAGAAAACTACATCTTTAGGTCTCAGAAACTTAAATACGTTTTGGCGCACATTCAAGAGTTCGCCTTGTATAGTAACTTACCTTTTACACTTCAACTTTGCTTCCATCGATGTTGTAATATCTCCCGTCGGCGTCCAAGTGATATTCTTGGCGGAAAAGAAACGAATTGGTGTATCAATGTTTGCGCAAATAACGTTGAAACCTCTATGATGATCATAAATTCCTGCCTCCGTCGCCATATCGCCTGACTTCTATCACGTTAGCTTTTGAAGTAACAAGTTTCAATTTGCGGTATCGCCGGCCATAATTGCTCTCTTCTTTATCCACCGATACGTATCCGTTGCTTACTTGAAACTCTGGAGATGTATAGAAAAAAATTCTGAGTTTAAGCGGGTGTTATCGCGTTGTTATCTCATACAGTTGTAAAGAAAGCAGAATTCAAACCTCTTTCTGTAGTGTAGAAAAGTGTTACTTCAGCAGTATCCTCTTCGATGCCTATTTGGACTACTTCGCAGTATCTAGGCACGTTTGGCTCTCGGGGTTGATATCCGTGACTCATTTTGATTGCCCACGGTTCTCGAGGAAATAGACGATGATTTGTTGTTTAACTGTGATGCTTTGCTCAGCGTATAACCCTGATTTCTCGTTATTTCTCCTTCGTTTTGTCGTATTTCGCAGCTTAACTTTTTTTACGCCTGCGCGGCACAATATTTGCTTTGGCTGCACATTCATAACTGATTGATAAGAAACCTATTTTTAGCTCCCCTTTTATGATCTAAGGGAACCTTTTTTGACATTGGAACGGATTGTTGTAGCCGCTCAAGATTTCATTTCATTGTTGACCCCGATTAAAAGCATACGCAAATATGTGATAGCAATTACCTCCACCGCGGTGGCGACTGATATTTAATGTGTGGCCTGTTTAAGTTACGATCGTTAATCGTCGGTTTCTACCTTTCAGCTGCACTCGAAAGATAAATCCTTTACTGATCCTGAATTCTAATGGCAAAAAATTTCCGGAAAGTACCGCTCGATCCATTTGCTTTTATTTACAATATTTGTGTCCTTCGAAGATAGAGTAAGCGTGGAGTTCATTAACTCTGCTTTGGCGTGAACACGCTTCTTTTACGCATTGTATGTTCAACCAGCAAAATTATGTTAAGAGTCATATGTGTTTCATGCCATGCTAAAAACTTTATTAGGCTCTTGGTTCGTTTACAATCAACAATTTTTCAGCGTTTAACAGAGTGGCTCTAGCATTGCTCAGCAAAATTGCATTAAGATTCATATATGTTTTATACCATGCTACAAACTTTATTAGGCTCTTGGTTCGTTTAAAATCAACAATTTCCCAGTGTTTAACAGAGTGGTTCTACCAGTGCTCTTGAACAGTCTGCAATTGAGATGAAATAAGAAAAGAGCGCATTTTCATTGCAGATCACAAACAGAGAAATTTACAATTACTACTTGCTTTAGGTGAGGAACATGCCCATTGCCAAGCAGAGTACTTGGCTAAACCAACATATCCAAGTTTTGATTACTAAGTCTTATTCTGAGAATTATGCCCGCTAGGAAGCAAATTGTTTGTACAAGAATGGCTTTTATTCTAGAATAAAATTGATTGAGCATGTTGAATTTCATACACTTACCACAGTTAATAGGAAACAGTCTCAACCTTCTTCCAGGTACGCCAACCAGTGCTATAATCTTTGATGAAGAGGAACAAGAAGAAGCACTTAACATGAACGGGTTACGCAAATGATAAAAATATTCTAAGGTAATGAATTCGAAAGTATTCAGCTGACGATAGTTCAGACCACTAACATAATGAGACGCTGAAAGAGATCATGTGAAATTGCGTTATCTGTTGACTGCGACAACGTTACAAATGCGTAACTCCCTATAAAAAGGTTGAAATCAGTGAATCTTCACTTACTTCCTTTGCCATGCCGAGTGACTTTATAAGTACATCCACTGTCCGATCGCAGTTTCACCGTTGTGCTTCTCCCAGAGGTTTTTTCCTTAGTTATTCGTCCATACTCTGCTTCGAACTCTGCATTTTCCGGATATCGTGTTAGTAAATTTGAGACTTCAGAGCTACACAAAACAGTTAAAGTTACTTACTTTTTCTATCCAGAGAGTACAGTAGTATGGCATCCGCATCGTTATGGCAGCAGTATTTTCCAAGGGATACTTTCTCACCATGCCTAGGCTCCACTGGATCAAAATCTGACATTTCTCTTAAAAAAACTGAGAGAGAAGGTTCGCACTGTCTTGGAGGCAACGTCGAATGCGCGTAATACGAATACACTGGGAGAAAGCTGCTTCGCTCAGTTGTTTTATCCAGCCCTTTGTTTGGGATTGGCGAGCTTTCGGTTTCGCTTCCTCGTTCGCGCGCGCTTCCCGAGCGACGTAATTTCCCTCGCACTCTTGCGCTTGTGTTGTTCGTTTGTTTACATTCTTACAGTGGGTCAATTTCTCTTTGTCACTATCTCACAACCAGATTTTAACTCAAGATTTGTTTACATATATCTTCTAGTATATCTTTTTCCTAACAAAGGTAATGCAGTCCGCTTAGTAATCGTTTGTGGTGCGATTATCGAAATCGGTCATTTGCTTGACTTGATTTTTCAATCATCGTCAACGTGTGTGTTACGCGTGAAAGGTTAAATAATATTCAGAAGGCGGAGCTACGGAAAGGAGAAAACTGACTCTGAACAAACTAGAATGGCAGGAATGCTTTATTTTTGCTTCGCCGAGAACATTTTAAAACCTTTTTTTTAGTGTCTGGGTACCTCCCACTATTTAGTGATTGGTGGCTTTTGGGGCTTAGTGAATTGGTTGCCTGTTATTGTCACAATAGTTTCACCAATGCACGAAAATGTATAAACATTTTGACAATTTATGGCAGTTAACATGATTTTTTATTTACGTTAAATTAGAATCAAGATCTTTGGGCTGTATCACTTGTCAATCGAAGTCTTTCTTGAGTAATCCTCTGGGAAAAAAATACAATTTTTGTTAGTTACTCTTAGCAGAAATGCCTATTTATAGTTAGATGAGTAGTATTGATTTCCAGCATGTTAAGCAAACCAAAAGATATGCACAAAGGCGCTCACCTAGCAAATTCAGTTTTGCCACAACTATCATGGGATTTACCGAAATCAGTCGAATTGGCAAAGCTTTGAGCGGTGAAATGGGCCCTCTTGTCGTAAGAACAAGCCAAATTGACTTTGTTATTCGCCTTTATTGAACAGGACCTACTTAATGCGTACACGTTTGTATTGTGAAGCGCGTCTTTCTAAGCCTTCTTCTGGCCAAATAAAGAAAACTACATCTTTAGGTCTCAGAAACTTAAATACGTTTTGGCGCACATTCAAGAGTTCGCCTTGCATAGTAACTTACCTTTTACACTTCAACTTTTCTTCCATCGAAGTTAAAAATTCTCCCGTCGGCGTCCACGTGATATTCTTGGCGCAAAAGAAACGAATTGGTGTATCAATGTTTGTGCAAATAACGTTGAAACTTCTATGATGATCATAAATGCCTACCTCCGTTGCTATATCGCCTGACTTCAATCACGTTAGCTTTTGAAGTAACGAGTTTCAATTTGCGGTATCGGCGGCCGTAATTGCTCTCCTCTTTATCTTCCAATACGTATCCGTTGCTTACTTGAAACTCTGGAGATGTATTAAAAAAAAATACCGAGTTTAAGCGGGTGTTATCGCGTTGTTATCTCATACAATTGTACAGAAAAGCAGAATTAAAACCTCTTTCTGGAGTGTAGAAAAGCGTTACTTCAGCAGTGTCGTCTTCGATGCCTATTTGGACTACTTCGCAATATTTGCGCGCGTTTGGCTCTGGGGGATGGTATCCGCCACTCATTTTGATTGCCTACAATTCTCGAAGAGGTTGACGGTGATTTGTTGTTAACCTGTGATGCTTTACTCAGCGTATAACCCTGATTTCTCGTTATTTCTCCTCCGTTTTGTCATATTTCGCTACTCGACGTTTTCCACGCCTGCGCGGCACAATATCTGCTTTGGCTGCACATTCTTAACTGATTGATAAGAAACCTATTTTTAGCTCCCCTTTTATGGTCTAAGGGGACTTTTGATATTGAAACCTTGCAAATGAAGAGAACAGCACTCTCTTTGATGACACAATACAAATTTTATTTTCTTTGAACTGATTACAGAATTTTAACCTTTTCGTCGATTACAGCCTTGGCTATTCTAGGATCTTGTGACAAACTTACTAATAAAAAGGTTAAGATAATGGTTCCTCCAAGAAAAACCTGCAATAAAACAAAATGTAACTGTAGATCAGTTGGCGTATTTTTTGAATGATTACCTACACTCATTTAAAGTTGTCGTTCTTGCTTAAGTAAAATAGTTCAATTTTACTGTCACATATAGATCATAATACTTCAGTGGACGAGATAGGTTTCGCTCGTTGAAATATATGCAGATCGCTTTCTTTGAATTGCGTGAGAGGAAGATGTGTAGGAAGTGTCTTACCTCGCGCTTAGTGGTATAAACGTTCTTCTTTGTGCCAGTATCCTCCAGTGTTCAAATGGTAGCCTTTAGAGTGAGGAAAAGAGAGGGTGAAAGGTATTATTTAAGCTTCTTGGCTAACAGTAGCTAAATATTTTGGTCAGGTTTTAACAGCTAGAACTGGACGCGCGTAATTTAACAGCATTCGACGCAACATCATTAAGTCTACCAGCCTTCATAAACCATTTAAACGTTCTCTTTATATACAAATTGTCTCAAAATCAGGGAGGATGTTTTTACAGTTGTGCGGAATCAGTATAAGTGAGTTGTCTGGGGCGAATCATATCTTATAAATCACGGTTTGTATGCTACCATGAAATCGGGGGTGAATGATAAAATGTCTGAACTGAAACAAACAGATGAAACTTTACAAACCTCCTCCTCTATGGCGAGTGATATCAAATTTGTGTCCGCTTCTGGTTTCAATTGTTAGTCTTCGATCTCTGCCGTGGCGTTCGATATGACTTATATTTCCTCCGTGTGCTGTAAATTCTTAGGGATTAAAATGAGGAGAGAAATGTCAACTTACACATAGCACATAACACATAACTATCACACTTAGTCTACCTCCTCTTCCATGACCAGAGTTATAGTAAAGCGTCACATCTTTATGATGCACGAAGTTTCTTCCAATCTGAACGATTTCCACAAATGAATTTGTTGGGTCTGTAGGTTGGTGGCAAACATGAGCCATCTTGGTTCTTGTTGATGATGAAACAGCTTGAGCAGCGCAATCCTTCGATGTTCGAATAACAGAGACGCAGTGCTTTTATAGCATTTGGCAGTGGCTTTTTAGCGCTGATATCCACCCGTGTTTCCCCAATTTGTTGAGTCATCACATTTTTAGCTCAGCTGTAAACGAAGCACCTGGTGTGTGCGTATGTTTGTCCACGTGCGCGCGTTAAGAAATGCTTATTCGGCGCATTTTTGATATGGTTGTCGAGGGATTTATTTTTAGCTGCTAATTTTTATTTAAGATGGATCGTATGTCAGCACTTACAGTAAAAGAAAACAGACCTATACAAGGTATTTCTCTTCAAGCAAAAGGATAGATTTATTGTTGTGATCCACAGGCAAGCGAAGTTGTAAAGAGCAAGACGCTTTTTGTCAAAACTTTGTTTATGTGGCGTGTAAATGTGATTCAGTGCGTGCGTGGGCGGTCATCAATATGTCATACAAGACGCCAATTGGTCAGTACTTACAATAGAGGAAAAAAACATACAATCAAGTTCTAGAATTTCCGTTTGAGTGAATTGCGCAGAGACTTGTACCTTTAGTTTAGGGATAAATACGATGTAACTCCTCCTTATGGTATCCTCTGCTATGCAGTGAGTATCCTTCAAGAGAAAAACGGGTTGTTGTAGCCGCATAAGATTTCATTTCATATTTGACCCCGATTAAAGTATACACAAATATGTGACAGCAAATACCTCCACGGTGATGGTGACTGATATCAAATGTGTCGCCTGTTGAAGTTACGATCGTTAATCGTCGGTCTCTACCTTCCCATTGCTCTCGAAAGATAATTCCTCCACTGATCTGGAATTCTAAAAGCAAAAATTTCAGTAGGTTACCGCTCGATCCATTTGCTTCAAATTTTTGCAACGAGGTTTAGAGCCTTTAAAACGCGCTCGAATGCTTCCCCACTAACCTCCTCGCCCTTTAGATATGTAGAAAATGGTGACATCGGAGCCTTCAACAAAGTTCTTTTTGACTCGAACTATTTCACAAAATGACTCCTCTGGCTCGGGTTTGTTCGCCATTGTGATTTACAGGCAAGTGAAGTTGCAGAGAGCGAGACGCTTTGTGTCTACACGTTGATTATGTGGCGTGTAATTCAATGCGTGCGAAGGACGGTTATCAATATCTCGTACACGAGGCGCCGACTGGTTTAGACGCGCGTGTTCTCAAACGCTGTGTTTAGTTACTGTTAACGGCTTCCGGTTTCCCCATAGGAAACATAAATAACTTTCCCAATTCACCATGTGGAATTAATCTTTACTTAAGCTTACCAGCTCTCCAATAAACATACTTGCTAAGTATTAATATGCAAAAAGATTAGTTCGTTAACTTGCTGCTTAGTGAGCGCCTTTTGAGCGAGTTGTACCAAAGCTGAGTTGTTCGCGCGCTTTAAGTGAAATAAATATTCTTTAAAAGACGTTGAACGGATAGAAATGTACTAGAAAAATAACCGAGATAAGAAATTGGATAGTCTATCCCTCTTTTGCTTACATATGTCCTCGTTAAGAGGTTATTTTCAGTAGGTATGAATTAAGTAACAAGGATTGTTTCAAAATAATTGTGCAAACCAACATGGCGGCTATTTCCGTGTTAAAAAATATCACAAAGATACTGATGCTCCATTGTGGACAGCACTTGATATATTACGATCTCCCGTAAAATTATCGGTGTGTAATAAAATTCTGGCTTTCATCAGTCTGGAATGCGAAAAGAAACACTGGTTACTGAATGTTTCACTAGGAAAAGTATCACAATGTTTCCCTATTAAAAGAACTTGCGTCCTAACTCCACCTTCCAGTAGCCGTGTGTGTGCAGTATATATCCTTTAAAATAAACCGCAAGAGGTTAGATTTGATTAATTTTTCTTCAGTTATGATTTACCTAAAAGAAGAGGTAAAACTCGAATGATACGAACCTCCTCCTTGACTGCGAGTAATCTCAAAACTTTTGAAATTATTCCCTATGGAGTACCCAATTGTTAGTCTGCGACCACCTGATATTGGAACCTCGCTACGTATACTTCCACGACTGACTCGGAAACCTGTATGATTAAGCAAACATGAGTTAGAGATGTGTTCAGATGATTCCAAAGATTGACCAAATCTTATGAAATATTATATTCACCTCCTCGTCCTAGACCTGGGTTGATGTAAGATACTACTACGTCGTGTTCTTGAACGAAGTTTCTCCCAACGCGAACTGAAAATGTCTTCCAATTTAATCTCGACGAAGTTGACACCAGGTTCGCCTTGTTCCATTGCCAGAAAGTTTGAGCGGAACTGAAGTATAAGCGAGTAAACAGAGGGTCACTTATGGACAGTACTTTCCTAAAATGCATCAATGCGTAACAATCACAGGGCTGCGCGTGGGCGGAGATGTTATCTCGCGTGTTTTCTCGCAATGTGCGCGCAATCGATGTCGTTGTATTGTCATCTAAACTTGAGCTAAATATAGTTCGTCTTGCATGTTAGACCAAAGAAATTTCATGACTTTAAGTATTGTCGCAGACTTATCCATACTCAAACTAAATTGTGCTCAGTGACGAAATATTGTTGGGTTGTTTGTATACAGGATGCCTGAATTCTAGACAAGCTATTTTAGGATTTTGTATAATCGTCTTGACCGCAGGGGAGAAAATGTATGTTAATCAGACGGAGACATTTCTTTTATTTGTTCAAGCGAAACTAAGACATTTGATAGATTTAGCGAGGTTATTACCGGTCTCATACATGTTTAACTTGAACTAGCGTATAGAAACCCAGGCGTCACTTATCTTCTGAAGTTCAGAAGAGAGTTTCTAGAGCAGTGTTCTCTTCTAGTTGGATCACTTCACAATATCCGCGCACACAAGCCTTAGAAGTTGGGGCACTATAAACCCAATTATTCGGACTATCCGCAAATCTAAGAATCTAAATGATGATTTGATATCACACTCTTTAGTCTAAATACGTAGATCAAGTAAGCTTTCATCTCTCTTCTATGTATAGTCTTGCGAGAAATGCAACACCACAATATGTGCTTATTTTGCGCATTCTTGAGTTAGATGAGAAATATATTTTTAGCCATTCTTAATGAAGTAAGGGGACACGTGTCGATGCAATTATGCGCATAAAGAGGCCAGACATTTCTGTGTTGTGAGAGTAATCATTTTATTTTTATTGTTACAGAGTTTATGATATCTTAACTTTTAAGTGATAACGAAATTCGATTGAGTAGGTTATGTAGGAATAAATGTGTTGTTCTTCTCGGCAAAGCCTGAAATAAAAAAAGGGAAGAGAAGATCAATTGGCGCACGTTTTACAAATGAAACAATTTATTTGATGAATTTCCCTGTGCGTTAAAATGACTTAGTTCTTCCGTTCTTTAAATGTGAGATCAATGAATGACATAACTGAACAACTTTGAATGACTCGGTAGATGGTTTTCTATGCAGGCTTGTCAACCAATGTCATTAAATTGTGCGAGAGAGAATGATAATGAAAGTATCTTACCGTCACAAATTTTAGCCGCGCTATATCTTCGTGCACCAGTAACCGTATGTTTCCATAACATATTCTTCAAGATAAAATCACATCATAGTTAATGTTAGGAGTATTGTTAGTGTTTAAATCCAAATGCAAGAAAAGAAAAGTACCTCCTCCTTGTCGACGGGTGATCTGAAAATCATGTCCGCTGGATGTCTGAATACGCAGTGTTCGTCCGCCGTTTACCGGCCATTGATTGAGTATCCGTCCGCGATCAACGCTGAACTCTAAACAAGAGAATTTAGAATGCGATACCTTTTTAATAACCCCAATTATTTGCGCAAGCATTGTAGAGTAACAGACTCAAATTACCTCCTCGTCCAAAACCGGGGTTATTGTAGCGAATTATCACGTCAAGATAACTGAAGCCTCTTCCAACACGAACTGCTTCTTCAGAAGTGTACACGGGTTCCCAGGGTCTATAACCATACATCTTTGTCGTAAATAATAGACTATCTCGTAAATGAGAAACGCAGCGAGAAAAATTTGCTCTCGTTAATTGTTTTCCGAGCATCGACGGTAATGCTTACGCAAGTAATATGATGTATCAGCAAAATTGTAATACGCATGACAGAGACATGATATTTGTATTTGGCAAGTACTTATGCTCTAGATATGTTTTGTCTACTTCTGTTGACCGCCGCTCACTCGAACTCTCCGCGAACTCGCAACGATTTGTTGCTTATCTCGGATTACTCCTTAATGTGTTTACCCTTCGATAACTTAAGTTCAATTCAAGCTAGTTTTCTTTATCGAAAAGGTCCCAGTATTCGTGATTCTACGGTTGTTTAGAGTAGCGTTTGTCGGGCACGTTAGCTGTCAACATGACAGAAAGGCTATTTTTGGAACTGCACTGATCGTGGAGCTATGGCAGGAGAAATATTATTTTGAACACATGCATGTTGCCGCGTTTATTTTTGGGTTGCGAAATGTTTCGGACGTAATTCCGCACACGGATATTGTTACAACAGTACCTATTTTATTACTTGATTGACAAAATAATCTTTCTAAGTTACATCAGTGGAATAGTCACAAAGATCTTGAGGGTTGTCTTTAGCAGTTCAGACGTCTTGTCAAATTGATGTATTCTGCAAGTGAGATAAACATAGTGATTCCATCAGGTCACCTATTAGCTCATGGTATAGTGTGAGAATTCTGTTGGCGGGGTTTTGAAATGTGAGGTTGGGATTTTGAGTCCGTGCGCTTGTGAAATCGTAAATATTTTGGCACTTCATTTTTCAGGTTTTCGGCAAAACGTCTTACAGTCTCGATCAGTCAATAAAGAACGGTCATGGTAGATTTATTGAGCATTACTTTCCCGCGTACAAAGGTGCGACATCATCCTCGCACTTGTATTTCTTACCGTCATTCAAAGTTCGACATCCTCTTGACTTATCCAATATCCCTTTGACATTACCTTGAATTCTACAAAAGTGAGAAAGGTTGAGAATTACGCCATGTTTCTGTGAATATTTTTCAAGACTGAATTATATGAAATCACCTTCATCGTCTTCATATCGACGAACGACGATTTTTTTCCCTCTGGATGTAACTATTGTCAACTTGTCATAACGTCTACCATGACTGTAAAGTGTCTTCTGCTCTGCTAGGTATCCGTTGTGAATTTGGTATCCTAAGAATATATTTCACGCATTTTATTGATGAAATCTGGGTCATAAGTTTGAAAAATCCTGAAATTAATCTCGACTAACCTTCATTCGGCGTATGGAAGATTGTGAGTTCGGCGCCTTTATCGTGCCGCCCTATTCTAACTGCTTGACAATATTCAGAATCGTCAGAAAACTCCGGCTCTTCTGGTTCATACCCGGCCATTTTTTAAATTATCGAAGTATATCTTTGTGGAAGTCAGATACGTTTGAAATATTTCCAGTTTTCGAGTCACGAGGCGTAATCGTATTTTCGCGCTTCTGCGCACAATCCAGAAGCAGCGAGCCTCTTCATTGCGTCATGGCCTATTTTTGCCCTAAATCTCGCTTGCAAGTAAAATGCATTTTTATACCAAAAGTATTGATGTCAATAAACAAAGACAACAGGCACCGTTTCAAACAATCAAATCAATTTTATTACAGAATGTTGAATTTTTAAAACAAGATACGAAAAAAAAGCTGACGCTCTCTCTCCCTCTCCCTCTTGTTCCTTGTCATGTCGTCGTCGGGGTTTCCTATATTGAAGAACAAAATGGACTCCTTTCAGAAAGAACTCAATAATTTAAAGTTTTCATTGCTATACGGTTTGACTGGTCACACCAGATATTCCGTATTTATCGACGTAGCCACATTGCATTGCTTTTGCGAGCAAACTTGCTGACTCATCACCTTACTGCGTACGCTTGTAAAATTTTTATTTCCTCTTTAATCGTAAGCCCCAGAACAGAAAGTTAAACCCGACTATTGCAATCACAACCAATAGATCAATGTCTGTACTTACCTTTTCACCAAGGCTAAGGGTCGTCAACCCAAACCGCAGTCTGGTCCATTGAAAGGCTCGGCTCGATTGTGTACTTATTTTGCATGTCTTGAACACTTGCGTCCCTTGTGATTTTGATAACACCACCTTGCGAGGCCAAAACTCGGAGTTTTTCTACACCATATCTTTTGACAGGCTTCTCGAGTATAAATCCATTGTCAGCGTGGTATTCTGTAGAGATGAAAGCTCAGTTAAGTTATTATGAATCTCAAAATTCAATTTTTGCCTTTAACGTCATTCTTACCGCCGCGTGGGCTTCGGTAAATGTTCACGACTCCATGTGTAGGGATCCAGATTTTAAGGATTTCGTATCGATTACGACCCTGGGGTTCACCTGGTTCCATACTGAATGCACAGCAAAACTAAATTCGTCTTTTCCAATTTTTCCACCCAGTGTACGTCTTGAAGGCGAGCAAAACTGACTTGGGATGGGTTTTTATATGCTTGTTTTTATATGTTAGCCAATCAAATGCACGGGAAACGTCAGGTAGAATGGGAAAATCCCTGTACCTGGATTTACCGCGCAACTTTCGTCAGTTTCCAAAATCTGTATTTCTATTTTTATCCTTTGCGCAAGAAAAATATCGATGCTAGGCCCCATTTTTTGACCATGCAATGCAATAGGCAGAGCCTACGAAATTTTGGAATTATTTTTGCGCGCGAAGATCTCCTAGAATCTGCTCAATTTAACATCTTCTTCTATGAAAAAAATAATAAATCTGCGCAAGCCTTAAATGGCCCTCCAGATGGCGTTCGCTCGCATTGAATTTGCTTAATAACAACCAAGTTGTTTCCATGCCTCACTTTTAGTCTGTAGCTGTTGTGCCTGGAAGGACAATGTCGTAAGTCACAACTGGTTGACTTAATTTGTTGGTTTAAATGTCAGTGCAATACCTCGTAAAATTATATGTTTTGCATAACAAAAAATGAAAGGAAATCTAGTTTAATGCTGTCAGTCATTTTGACCTCGTTCTGTCACACAACGGTGATTGTTTTTCACTTTAAAGTGGTTTTCCTTTGTCTGCTTAAAAAATACCTACAACTTTCTGAGTGTTACAACTGAACCTCAATGGCCATGGTATCAATGTATATTATGATGAAGGATAATGTCAAGACATAACGGACTATTTACGATACACAAGAAACATTTTCCAATCAATTATGTTGTTGTAATGCATTTTCTTTTAGCATCGTAGCATTTCAGGTACAGTTTTTGTTGCATAGTGCATAGCCCCTGAAATACCAAGCCTCCTTGGGTCAATTGCTCTGTTAATAACTCTATGTTCATTTTGATATAAATTCGTCATTTGAGCAGCTACGATTCCTCACAGGACACTATTATTTACTAGGAAGTTAATTTTAGGTGCAATTTTTGTTGCTCATAGAATATTTCATTGCTCTAAGAAGCCAAAACTGCCTGAGTGCCGATAATAATAATTCTACATTCACGTTACTTCGACCTAAAGTCAAGTCGTCTTCTTGTTGAGCATCTCAAATACTTTACATCGCACTGCTTAGTCAATAGAAGTTTGCAGCTCAGTCATACAGAAACAAGCATCACTTTTGCATGAAGGATGAATTTCATTTTATTCAGGCAACCAACTAGTGGATATGTATTTGTGGATATGTACATGTAGTCAAAATATCGTCCTCCTGAACTGCTAAATGCAATTGACAGTGCACACTGCAGAGATCCAATATTTGTAACATTAACCCATACAAAAATAAACAAGAATTTCTGCATAGAACACTTTACAGTTCATACCTTCCTCCTGAAATTGCTAAATGCAATTTACATCGCACAGTGCAAAGATCTCTTATTCGTAACATTAAGCTATACTACTGAAATAAACAGAAATTACTTCCGAGAACACTTTTGTACAGCCTCATGTCTTTTATACAGTAAACAATTATTTTCTCACCTTGATCATAAAGGATTTATGTTGATCGTTTACAACATCCCCCGAGCTACAAAGAGATATAGAAAGCATGTAAATATTTCTACAGCTTTAAGTACATGATTATCCCAACTGTAAGAGAGGATATGAACGGTGAGGTTCCCTCCGAAATTCCATGTTTGAGAAACTTATAGCGTGAGTTATACCAGTGCCTCGATAAACACATTTAGACTAGAGTATGGACACCTCTCGCCTCAGCTTTTGTAACTCCAGTAACGTTAGTAAAACCAAGTAACACAAAATGACACAATACTTACATCTGACAGACTTTCAACAAATTCATATAAATCGAATTTTGGTTCATCTGAAAGTATAGTTCAAAGTCTGAACGGCACACGCGGAAAATTTCTCCGCGTGGGCCACGCTCGAGTGTTACTCGTTTCCTCCAATATTTGTTTTCAATCAAAAGACTGCCGACTTGGCATGCCTGCACGCACAAAAATTTCCTTTGACTTTGACCAACGTGGCGTATACTATCGATTTCCAAGACTTAAATCTCAATAATGTTCTCTCCTAGATAGTTTATTTCCCTTGAAATGGTTTCAAATAGAGCTGTTAGCGCCGTTTTGATTATCTTGTATTTTCTCCTCACATGCACCTGACACAGAAAGGTTTTCAATCACCTGTCAATGATGCACTAGGTTGAATCGCTGGCGCCATGTATATCGTGGGAAAACTTCCATAACGTGAATGAATTCTTTGTTATCGTAGGCCAAAGGTGCTTAGTAATCGCTTTAAGTTTCCTGTTTTTGTATTACGTGTGCGTCCAAGAATGTGCTTAGCCAGTGGTTTCGATCGTAACAAAGGAAACGCTTTGTTGGCAGATCTTAAATTATTTACATAGCCATGATCTTATCGCAAATAATGTGCTTATTCGTCAGATGTATTGTCACTGACCGTCCAAGATGAAAACATTACCTTATATGGGCATTTTCCATCGCCCAAACTAACCGTTAGTTTTGATGAAATGTGCATCCAAAACTTTTCAATCAACGTTTTAAGTAATAATTTCAACTCGAAATTTTCTCTCCTCTTTGTTTTGCATCTTTGCGTGTGGAAATCTTGTTCCAAGCCATTAATCTACATAAAGGTTCACGACCGCTTTCAAACCTCGCTTGCTGATTGGTTGAACAAAAAGTAAACACAGCTACCTCCTCTGAGCCGTCTATTATTGCAACGTTTAGATGTCACTGCAAATGACGAGCTGTCTGAATTGCAGTGAGGTGATTGGTTGAGGTACAACATAGCTCGAGGGTGCAGAGTAAAGGGACTCTCCCGGCAGCTGTTTGCGGTGTAGTGATATATTCGGGTCATTGTGTGTCACACGTTGTGTGGAACTTTCATCATTTGCTTCTACAAACGCTTTAAACCAAGTTTCACCTCTGTTAAACCGATATGGATTCAGAAACCGACACTAAAAATCTAGAGAAACGTCTCAAAAAGGCCGCTCTAGCTTGGGCTTGTACCCTCACACCTCCGACTGCCTTTGTGACTCCAGAACCAGGAGGTTCGTTTTCATTGCTTTCCAACGAGATATATGTTTGGTTGGTTCCTAACATTTTCTCCTATTCTTTCAGGTGAGACAGAGGAGATTTTAGAAGAAAAATTGAGAAGAGGACGGCGCGAAGGAACATTTTACAAATGGAGCGACGACGAAGAAACATCAGGTAACGAGCATTATAACAATCGCATCTTGTTCGCATTATTCGTTGTCTTCAATTATGAATTATTGTCTCGAAATTCAGCTGTAATCAATATAGGAATTTCGCCAGCCGTTTTAATCATGTCTTCACTTTGCTCTTTCTAAGTGATGAAATGTCGAAATGGAACACAATTTTCTACGTTGTTTAACTAAATGTTTTTATTTACAATATCAACATAACATAACAGGTTTGCTCTCCTTAAATGGCGGGACGATCTGTTTTTCCCAGCTTGTCAACGTATTTGTCACCAGACAGCGTAGTATTTCAGTTTAATGTTTCGTTTTATCATCAGAGCTAATAAATCTTCTTAATTTTCAGGATAAACTCGAGAATGAAGATAAGATTTGTCTGGATCAGATCACCTCGACTGTAGACAGAGTATGGTTCTTGCCTAGCCTTAGGTAACCTCAGAAAGGCCGTAAGGACGATGTGCAATCGAGGAAAAGGCTTGAACTATCAGAAATGAAACGTTTGACAAGACACAATTGTTCGGTAATTGATTCAAGAAGTGTCAGCAGAGAAATTGAAACATTTTAATCTATTCAAATACCACCATTATGGATTAAATTTGTTATGCTTCAGTTGGGCTAGCGACAGTGTCACGTAGACCATTTCATTTTTGTACGTTTTAGTAAATATTTTATTCTAGAAAAAGGCTTGCCCAGGTATGTATAGAAATCAGCGTCGTTCATTTAATATCACCTTTCGTCTCGTCCATTATGTGCTTCAGCAAACGATGCTATATCAGTTCACATCTACTTAGAGTTATGTTTTAACCTCTCGTAACCCAACTAATACCAGGATATGCGTTAAATTCCCATAAGTGTAATATACATACCGGCTCTATTAAAACTATGTGCACATTTTAAGTTAGTCATTTAAAATAATCTTGCCATTGAAAATTGCTTTTATTTTTCAAATTTTTGTCATTGTGTGAAACTATTCATACCCTTCTTAATATTATTAATTACTTTCGATCCTGATACCTTGCAAAAGCTGTTTCTTTTTTTTTTACTTTCTAACGTCAAAAACTTGACGTAGGCATACGAAAACGTAAAATGCAGATATTGTAATGTGTAAAATATTCGATAAAAATTCTCAGAAATAAATTGTTGGAGTTGATTTGTTGACAGTTGTTTTGTGTACTCGTTGATTTCCTGAGGCAGTTTTGGGTGATATCCTTAGTTCTCTAGCTATAGATAGTCCACTAATCCTTCAACAATTGCCTAGTTACTGCTTTGACGATATTGTTTTTCCATGCGCTACACAAAACAAGATTGAAAAGCAACGAACTCGGTCTGCACATTCGAAAACGTGCTGATATTTTTTAAGTTTCATTTTTGATGAAACCTGAAGTCGAGGTTGTCGAGGTGGGCGGTAAATGTCATCTACAATCTGTTTCTTGAGAAACCTTTCCTGCTCGAATGCTCTTAACGGTCATGTTATAATATGGAATTGAAATATTTCTGCGACGAAATAGAAATACATTTACACTTTGGGACTTTCCCTTTCGTGGTAGTGGTCTATTGATACGAACGTAACTTTGAAACAACTATTTATTGTCAGAACATTATGGAAGAGCGAAAAAAACTGACTTTCGCGATCGATTTGACTGCCAAGTTTCGCTTAAAATCACGTTTTTGCCAGGCGTCTATTTTATTCCGCGAAGAGTCTGGAACGAATTAAGTCAATCGGAAGAATTTTCACTGGAAATTCTGCATTGATATTTTAATTTTGGTTCCCAGACGAAGGCAATTTTATCTGTAACTGACGTGCAAAGACATAAATTCTTCGCTGAACGATAACTAATTGAGAAAGATAGCCTTAAATGTTTTAAATTGTGAAAGTGATTTAATTGTCTTCCGAGAAAACCTCCTGATTCTTGGAACTGTCACGCAACGAACGATATAATTACATCTGAAGATAACTGCACGGGTAAGACAAACTTCATTTTTCTATACTTCTACAGATTTTTTTTTTCATATTGTCACTGTTGTGTTGTGGCCGGTAGGTATAAGATCCCAAGGAAGAAATCACGGCTTTCCATGATTAATTCATTTAGCTGAGCTACAAACAGAACAATGTGAACTTGAAATACGAAATTTGTTCAACCGCAGATAATATATTAGATACAAATAGTATTTGAGTTATGAACAGCAAGCGGCCAATTGATTCTCACAAATGAATTAAAATGAGGGTCATTACTCTGGAGTGGAACTTGCTCCGATGTTTTTGTCAAACTAATTGCCTATATTTTAACTGTCACATGGCATTAAGAAATGGGGCTGGTTGCAAGGGGGGGGGGGAGATTTAAAGTGAAGCTGTGGGGATCAGTGGGGAGGCAGGGGGGGGTGCCTGGAGGGTGTGTCTCCCATCTTCTTTATAGCTATATTATTTCCTCTAAAATCATTGCAATTTTAAAACAAATATTAACCCTTAAAGTCCCAAAAATGATTTAGATGTAATATCTTCTTGGGATTTCATTATATTATCTTGCAAACAGATTATGAGAAGAGACAAACTTATCAGCCAGAGGGTGGTTTCTTGATGTATGTCTAAATTCTCCTGTCTAATCTGCAAAGCAATATATTACATATCCTGTTGGGAGAGTTAGGAGTTAGATTTTGGAAGTGAAAGACCCATGACACCTTAATCTCCCTAGTCATTATAAGCAGCATATGGCAGTCTGCAGCCCTTCCCTACATCCAGGCACTTCAGAGAGCTGCAAAAGTCTAGAAAAAAAAAATTTTTTTTTTTCAAATCAGCACCCTTAATCTTGTTTTATTTTCATCACTATGTTTCCACCCAATAGCAAAGCTCTACTTTTGGCTTAACACATGCACAGCCCACTATTCCTCTATTCACTCTGATGAAAGGCTAATGCTTGAAACTTCAGCCTAGAAACTTGTCATGGTGGTTAATTTAGGTTATTAACTCAGTTGGTAAAGCAAAATTATCTTTTTATAAACCCCCACTAATGCTGCATTGTAGTTTCTTTAGAAACTTACCCCCTATATCTTTTAATAATAAAGTTCAGATACAACAGGTGCTGTCATTGGTTGACAGAGTGTGCTCTATTGGAGTTCAAAGTATAGAGCTGAGCTAAAATTGTCTCACCATCCACCAGTTTGAAGTATGTGCAACCGTTTCCTGGATTTCTCTCCAGCTTTTTTTGGTTATGTGAAAGTGAAATTTAGAAACAATGTGAGCCAGCAAGTGGAAGCAGATGCACCTGACCAAGCTTTTTTAACATGCCAAACACTGTAATTCATGCAATTGTAATGTGAGCAGGGACAAAAATCCTCAAGGACGAAGTGAAACGGACAGTTAAAGTTTTAAAGATTTTGACGCTTGGTTAGATTGTAAGCGTACCTATGGTAATAAAAATCAAACACAGCTAACACCCATGTAGTAAATATAGTTTTGTGTTTTAAAACAAAACAGAACAAAACAGTTATTATGAAAAATATAACCAAACTGGCACAACTGTTAAAATTCATACAAATCATTAAGGTGTCAGAGTGACTATGATCATGCTAAGGTCCATTGCAGCTAGTTCATTGTGATCTCCGGTCATCCTAGTGAAGAAGGCCTCAGAAATTACTTTTGCTGCTTCTTGATTGTCGTGAGTGATCAACTGAGAGTTTGCTCAGATTTCCTTTCCAATGCATTGAGTGGAAGGCCACAACTTTCTGCCCTCAG